TGGTGGATGGAATAAGAGACAATATATAAAATAGGCCCCCGCTTGAGCAATATCCGAGATTGTCGCCATTTTCGCATCGCCCGTGAAGCGAGAAACGATAGACATAATAAAAAACGCTATATAAGGAAAATGCATTACGATTCCGCGCATGGAATGGCCCCCCTGAGAGTCAGGATAAACTCCGCCATATTATTTCGCGGTTCAGTTTGCACCGGCGTTTTAACGTTAATAACTTTCCACCAACTTCCCCACACCCTCGCATCGCGCACACATACAAATATCTATATAGGTACTGAAATGTAAACTCTCGACAAAGAACAATTTACCTCTTTTTGTTTCCTTACTTCCAACGTTGCTGACTCGTAGACGCAAACCTCTTTAACCCGGCCTTATTGTTTTTAAGACACGCGCCGCAAAACTTATTAACAACTCAAATCTTTATTCATAAAACAAAGGATTTGCAAATTAACTTTAATTATACATACCTACCTACTACAAGTAGGTGTGATTAAAGACTATATCTAAATTTCCACTTTTTTCGGAAACATTTCACTTCTACAAATACCTATAAAAAATAGGAAATTTACTAAACGCATTCATTAATTTTGTTACAAAATCTGAAAACACTTTTTTTCATTGAATCATATTATTCTACACAATATTAATGAGTAAAGATCGGCCATCGGGACATATTTACCCCCACTACCTAGCGCTATTGCAGTGTCGTCGCGCGCTTGTCTGCAAGCCGAATTTCCGAAATATAACCGTTTAATTTCTAGGTGTCGTACAATTAGGTAAAGCTGTGAAGGACTATTCCTAAGTTCAATAATTTGATAAATGTTATTTTAATATTTTTTAGTGAAACGCAAAATCCGAATTTTTGCTGCGTAGGACACTGGGCCGACTAATGCTACCGTGGCGGGAGGCATTTGCGACAAAATAAATCCAAAGCGCCGACCACTGTTTTAATGAGCGTTTTTTAAAAATATTCCGGAAATGTAATGTTTTTTCATTATAGGTATGTATTTTAGATATTTATAGTCAGTCAATTGTCATTCCATTCCGAAGTTTGATAAATTTTAAAAACCGGTAGTTTTGCTGTCGAAAAATTGAAAAAAATCTTACTTCATTTGCAGAGTTGGCGACGCAATTATATTATTAGATATACCAGAAAAGTATATTATTTAGCGTTTGGTGATTATTCATTGGAATAAAGAAATTCCATTCTCGAGAATAATCATTGTGTATCGGCTTTTGCTAAATATGTAGTTCTGAACCGTTGAACTGCCACTATCCTATATGTACTTTATCGTCTCTACTATGCGAATGGAAAACTATAAACAAAACAATAATATACTCACTATTCATCATTTTATTCAGTGATTTTATTATACAGTATGTTTCGTCTTTATTGTTACACATTTAAACAGGTGAATAATCAATTTTAAAACAAAAGTTTCCTATAAAATACTTTATTCGACGAGTTTGAGTGTAACTCGGACGCTCGTTGACATCCGTGGTTTATCATCCACGAGGTGGAATAAATGAACCGATTTACACGAAGACGAGTTGAAATATTTTATCCACGACTATTGTATAATGTACCCCTTATACGTCTGTATGCTCGATCTTAATAATACCCATTAATTACAACAGTGATTAATGACTCATTAATCACTGCCGTGAGTAATGCCCATTGATACCCATTAATCACGGCAGTTAGCTATCATATTATATTGTTTCGCTACAAACAATTATTGGTTTTTAAAATTTTATCGTGTTGACCAGATTCGAACCCGGGACTCGCGGTTGGAAGGCAACCAGCATCAACACAGAGCCATTACCAACTTCGAATGTGTGTGTCGTATATCTGTTTCTTAACATATTTAATGTAACAAAATTTTCCAACAAAAAAGCTCCAACAAAAATATTTAGTAGTCATGGATAAAGTATAGTATACTACTAGCGTATAATGGTTATTATTCACTCGGTAAAAACTGCACCTCGTGAATAATAACCATCATTATACGCTCGTTGTATAATATACTATTTTTGTATACACTCCCAAAAATAGCTATTTTGCGGACTCATTTTAGTCTCTTCCGGACACAATAAAAATAGTTTTTGCAGACTAAAAAATTAAATTGGTTATTATGGTGACGAATTTTTTTTTGTTAATAAAGAGGTGTGAATTCGTGTTTTAGGAGCTTTAACAAAAAAATCTTGTATGTATCTTACTCCTACGTCGCCTCGTCATTAATTACCCCTAAAACCCTATTTTGCGTACTTGATACATAAATAGGTATTATAGAAAATTTGATTTTAAAATTGATTATTCATCTGTTTAAACGTGAAACAATAAAAATGTACCTAATAAAGAAGCTAGACCCCCTGAAAGAAGTGCGTCTTTTAATGAGTTTTTCCCAATACATATTTTAAAAACCATTTTAAATAAAATTGCAAAATTTGGTACAGCTAACTAAATCCTTTATACACCTAAGCGAATTCAAAGATTATTTTCGAATTTAATCAGAAGCGTCTAAGCTAGAGGGGTTTAGGGTGAAAAGTACCCTAACTATTTTCTTGACACTTTCAGCAACAAAATCCTAAATTCCATAGTTTTTAGCAAAAAAGAGGTTTCTTGCGTTGTTTTGATACAACTTAGGTACTATAATAGTATTCTTATGAAACGAGTTTTTTTTTGTAATTTGCCCTCTTTATGCCATGCCGTTTTTAAACAAAATTTTTTACTTTATTCGATTTAGGCATTGTTGTGACGTTTGGTAATGTCTTAATTTTAAAAGTCAAATTTGATCTGGTCGCCTTTTGACTATTAAGACATCGCTATGGAGAACTAGATACACAGGATGTTCCGTTTTTATTGTTACAGATTTAAACACGTGTTTCCTACAAACATGTATCAAAAAATGCGAGCTACACCCCCTAAAAGAGATGCGTTTTTTTAAATGAGGTTTTGGCACTATTGTAGAATAAATAAAATTACAAAAGTTGGTACGCCTAATAACCTTTAAACACTTATTAAACAAATTTAAAGATCAGTTGTCGAAATTTTTAATCACGGGCGTCTTAGACGGTAAAACGAATTTAATTTTTATCGTTTTTATAGTCTGTAAGACAAATTGTAAACTAATTTTACTCAAAAACGGTATATTGTATCGAACAAACGCAAAAGACCTCTTTTTTGTGAAAAAACATAAAATTTAGAATGTTGTAGCTGAAAGTGGCAAGAACCTGTTGGTTCTTGCAAAATATGTAGTTAGTGTACTTTTACCCTAAACCTCCACAGTTTAAGACGCCCCTGAGTAAAAATTTCAACATTTTATTTTTGAATTCGTTTAGGTGTACCTATAAAGGTTATCAGTTGTACCAAATTTTGTAATGTTATCTGCAATGGTTTATGAAAAATCCATTAAAAGATGCAGCCTTTTCAGGAGACTAATTACAAAAAATCAATTTAAATGTATGTTACAGATCATAAACAGAATTAAAATTTAAAATTAATTCTTTATCCAACCCCCAAGTTTAATACGCTCTTGATTTAAAATATTGACATTTCATCTTTAAATTCGTTTAGGTGTATAAAGATTATGACCAAATATTTGTAATTGTGATGGTTTTTGAAATATTAAAAAAAATTGCATATTTTACTACATGTTCCAATTTGTAAAAAAAGGGACACCTGTATACAGGGTGTTTACAGTCTTGGAGTTGAAATTTGACCTAGTAATAGAAGAGTACAGAAATACTGTAACCGAGGAAAAAACTCACACAATTGTTATTATCAAGAATGTTATTTAACTCCAAAATATTGGTACACGGTTTGAGGGTCACTGGAATTATTTCCTTGTTCAGATAAAATTGTATTGTTGCAACAGATTAAAAAATCGTATCCATGACAATGAAAGAGAAAAGTCACTTCATAGTTTTGACACTGTCATCATTTGATTTGCTTTAGTTTTTATCAAAATTCGCAGATCTTCTGTTTAATCTCTTTCAGCGAATGGTTTCCAATAGGTTTGATTCGTTTTTCTTAATATTTCTCCAAATTTATGAACATATATGGCAAAATAATGAAATAATGTCGTGATTATGATTTACGGTGAAACACAAGGTAATGATACTAATGGCCATTGTTGCAGCCGAAGCAGCAGTTTTCAAACAAATAGTGTAAAATGAATAATTTCCTTTAACAACGTGAATTTTTGTTTTATATAGCGTATTAGTTTTCTTTTACTGTGAATATCATCTCATTTAAATTTCAACCTCAAGACCGTAAACACCCTGTATTTAATAACACACTGACACACTATTCAATATTTACTTATTTAGTCGACATTTTTTTCTAAATACAAATAACGTTGTTCTCAATATAAATTTAAAATATTTTCCATTATAAATAATAATTTTTATTTATAACGGAAAATATTTTAAATTGAATTTTTTTTTAGTAGGGACGTAAAACTAGGAGAACTACATTTTTAAACTAAAACAGAATTCTTTATAAAAACGTATAATAAAGCACTACAAATTGTATAACTTGATTTTCCTTTCTAAATTACAAAAAATACTAATTAAACTTTAGACTCACTAATTCGGTACAAGCTAGCGCAAAATAAATCATTACCAATAATTCTTTTACAATTCTTTTTTACATTCATTTGTTACAAAATGCTGATTATTTATACACGCCGTCGTATTTATTTTCAAATTCCACAAATTAAGGCAATAATTTTAATTAAATTATGTTTTATAATGAATTCCTGTAGACAAAATAAATTTCAACGCCAGTTTTAGTTCTAGCTTCTCTCTTGTTAAAATTGGACAATATTCTTTTAATTCCACATAATTTATTTTGTTCAAATATTAATTTCCCGCCAGTTTTTAGATAAAATGTACAATATAAAAAACCTTGTAGTCAAATGAAAATTATGTAACGCAAATATCAGGTTTGTTTTCATTGCAAATAAAAACACAATTGATCTACTAAGTTTGTATTTATTCAAAATCTTTACAACATAACAATTTACAAACACAGAACACTTAATTACTTATTAGCAGCTTGGAAATATTCTTTAGATCCTTGAGGATCAGGTTTGATTGTCTTACTACCTTTTTTCCAGTTAGCTGGACACACTAAAATTACACCATAATTTTTTAAACCTCAAACCAAAAATAATTTAAGTACCTTCTCCATGTTTTTCAAAGAATTGTATAGCTTCAATCAACCTAAGAGCCTCATCTACAGAACGTCCTATTGGTAAATCATTTACTGTAATTTGCCTAAGGATACCATTAGGGTCAATAATGAAAAGACCTCTTAAGGCAATACCCTCTTTCTCAAGCAGGACATCGTAGTCCCTGGCTATTGTTTTGTTAATGTCAGAAAGTAAAGGATACCTCAATTTACCCAATCCTCCTTCCTATAATTAAATAATTAGTAAAGAAGAAAGTTATCAAAAAATCACTAACATTTCTTTTTGTGTTCATCCACCCTAAATGTGAGAAATGTGAATCAATAGAACAACCAATAACTTCAGCGTTAAGATTTTTAAAATCATCATACCGTTCATCTAACGCAATCAGTTCAGTGGGGCATACAAAAGTGCTAAAAATCAAAATTTAACCTGAAAGACTCCTCAACCCATAAAACTACTTACAAATCAAGAGGATAAAAAACTAGAACAACGTATTTTCCCTTATAATCACTCAATTGTATCTCTTTAAAGCCATCATTTATGACCGCTGTTCCTTTAAAATCAGGAGCAGGGTGTTGGACCCTAGGAGCACACAAAGTGGGGGCTAAAAATCACATGATTTGCTCTAAACCGCAATTTAGTTAAAACAAAATATTATACCAATAGAGAAGTTTCTGAATACATTACTTTTTACAGCCGGAATTGCAGTTTTTAATAATTGAGGAGCCTGCAAACCGAATGACATAACCTTACTTAAAAAAAAAAAAACCTTACCCTTCGTACAACTGTGCTAAATAATCCAGCCATTATAAAAACTGTTGATAGTGTGTGCAAATTTGTTTAAAACTGATGAGATGCTAAAATTAATTAATAAACTTTGGAAAGTCAATGACAAGTTTAGGGACTTTCAGCGCCGGCAACTTTCGTACCAACCGCATAAAACCGCAAAATTTTAAAACAAACTTTTATTTTTAATAAGTTACAAGAACAAAATATCACAAATCATCAACGAGATAATCGCGTCAAACAACCTCGACGTTAACAACCGGTTTAATCAGTTTCGTTTGTTGCTCATTCAAACGATGACGACGATTCGATTTCCTCCTATAAAAACACAACCAAATTCCCACAGGTACAAGAATTAAAGAAATAGGAATCAAAAACAGCCACCAAAACACTATCCGTGTTTCTTCGACGACTTCACTCCCTTCAACTTCAATAGTAATATTTTTAAAATCATTGCCAAACTCGGACAACACTAAACAAACATAAGTCCCGCTGTTAATACTATGCAAATTATGAATGTTCAATTTGCTAAGATACTTGTCGCCACTTATATGAAACACATCATTCGAGGACGGTATAGGACAATAAAAATGGTCGTCATATTTCACTTCACAAATCTGGTCACTACCCTCCTTGAACCACCGAATTACCGGAGGTGACACACTGGAAACCTTGCATTGAATTGCTAAAGGGGTATTTGGCAAAACTGCAGAGTCTGATGGCATTAATGAAAGGACTTCAGGTGGAGGCCCAATGTAACGCGTTGTTACTGCAAAAGTAATAAAATAATTTCCCAAAAAATCCAAGTTGAAAATAATTACCAACGTCCAACGTGAACTGTTTTAGGACTGAATCGTTGTGCATACATCTGTAAATACCGACGTTTTCTTCAGTCGCGTTGTTTATTTTCAGTTTTTTCTTACGCCTGTTGTAGTCCAGTTTCTTCCATTCGCTGCCCACGCAGTGCACCCCTTTGTAAATACAGTGCTATATAACAAAATGCTATTTTAGTAACATAATAACGAAAATTCGTCAGTTGACAGCATGATTTTTTATTCTAATTTTTTGGCAAAAATTTGCTTTTTACAAGTTAATTGATGTGTTACTCTATCTATATTTATAACAACAGCAATACCTACCTACTATAATGTATATTCTGTCTATTTTTTGTAAAACTATATGTTCAAATTTCATATAAAAAATAGGCAATAATGTGATAAAAATTTAAAACAACTCTAGTCTAGTTTCTGCTTAAAAACAAAAATATGTAGAAAACTGTCTTATTTTTTAAATTAGCATTATTCAACCTTAAATGGTGACGAATTACAAACATATCTTCGTTTTCAAATGCTGGTAAAATTTGTTTCCTCCTGTATAAACAAGATACCAAAAATTTCCCAGAAAAAATAATAAATTAAACAAGACTATTCCCTACATAATTAACGTAAAATTAAGATTTTCATCGTAAATCGTGTCTGATAAATATTGAATGGAATCGTTTCTAATAATACAGTGTTCTGAGAACTGAATTGCTAATAATACTGAGGTGCGAACCTTAAATTCCCATGCGATATCTTCTTCTTTTGTGAAAATGTGGTGATGATTACATTTCATAACAACATCTGACCCAAATTTATATCTTAAAGATTCTTTTTCCGGTGAGGTGTCCGGCGAATAATTGCTGTCATCGTAAATAGCTGAAAACAAAGTGGGTGTTAAATATTGCACCCCAAAGGTTATCGCAGAAGAGTGATTGATTTTTTGTGACGATAATTCCCAAGTGCAAAGTTTAATAAATCATGAATTTGATTGCAAATGAGATAAAAAATCAGTGATCAATCACGGCAAAAAAAACGATAAAACTCAAGTGCAAACTCACCACTGGTTTCGATGGCAGTCGCTTGGCCAAAAAGAATCACCAAATAAACGCAGCAACGAACAAAAGTGATCATATTTTTATAGCCAGTTAAACAAACGGCGGTCTTTTATGTCCGATATAAATCTTTTCAGCTTTGTAACTATACAACAAACTAACTAGAGTCTGTTTTAAGAGGAAAATAATCGATTTATTTTAAATCCACAAGTCTGTGTTCGATCAGACAATCCAAACATTTACGAAAACGTCACAACAAATACCCGGCATGCTTTTATTCAAAGAATATATTTTTAAAGTGAAACACCAGTTACCCTATTTGATTTTCGAACACGGTTACAATTAAACTAATTGTTAATAACGACCACGTATGCAAACGCAAACATTAACAGATTTTTTGTTTGTATTTATGCGAAATTAAATCTTGTGGGTCGCGGTGGTAAGGTGTTAACTACTGTATATTTATTGTATTATCCAAATAAATGTTGTTGACTGGGGGGAGATAAAGATTTTATCTGATAAGGTCTAACAACGCTATCGATTGAATTTTGCTTGCTTATCTCATACAAATATTATAATCTACGAGTTGCAAAATAATTATTATATGGACGTATTAAATATTTATTCAAACTGGTTCGCTAACGAATTTATTAGATCCCCGAAATACATTCTGTATATGCAACCTGTGCTTGTTTTATTAAATTTTTATTATACTCGGGTGCTGGATATGAAGCAAAAATAGATTTTCTATATCCTGGTAAAATAAAATCTTTATCGGTTGCACACTTCTTGACACCGATCCTTCAAACTGACGATGATGAATGAGATACGATTTGACAATTCTATCAATATTTGCAATAAACTGATTTGAGTGGTTTTCTAATTTTAACCGCAATTAGCTTCAACAGGAGAAATTTCCTCAAATGTTTTGTTGAAAACAAATTTAAAAAATACAGGGTGTTTTAACTTAACGCTTAAACTTAGAAAATTATGGTTTTTGCATGATAATAACGAATATTATAGTGAAATAGTGAAAATAAGTTCTAGTAAAAGTTTTTTTACTTACCGAAATATAGCGTCATAAAAATACTTTTCAACTTTTAAATAATTAATACCAAGATTATCATTATTTTGACTAAGCTCTAGTAGTCATCGACTTCCTTAATTTAATTTAATTTCTTTTAAAAAAGTTATGATTAATAATGCAAAATAAGTTAAATGAAACTTTTTTCTTTACGAAGATAGTCCGATAAATTTGCAAAAATATTAATACAGTACCTACTTTCCGAAAAAAAAATCGAAAATTTTAAGGAGTTGTTTAGTTATAATAGTTAAGTTTAGGTCGTGCTTGTGGAGAGCAGAAAGAGATACGGCAAGCTGAAATGTGCATTGAAAATGGTGTAAAAAGAAATAAACTTGAACAATTCCCTTAAAGTTTTTGATCTTTTTTAGTTTTTTTTCCAAAAAGTTTTAATTTTTTGTAATTACTTTACTTTTAAATTAATAAAAAAAACAAACAATTTCTTCAATGCTTATTCCTAATCCCAAAGCAATTGTTCCATTTTTCTAACTACTGAAAACTCGCTGTTGGGATCTACTAGTCAAATAAATGGTTTATTCTTATATTAAGTGATCAATCCCCAAATTGGTTGACATATTTATGTTTTCCTGAACATGAAATTTATTGAAAAATAACTAAACCGACACTTTAGTCGGTCTTCCGAGAAACTCTGGACGACACTTGTCTGTTGCGAGAAGGGACTATTGTTTGCTTTTAATGGCCAAAACGTTGAAGGAAACCAAAATTACTATTTTGTCTTTTAAACAAATCTTGCATTTGTTACAAAATAAGTAATATCTATGAAAAAATTGTCTAAAATCACTTTGATAAAACTAACATTAAATGATAAAAAACTATAAATTTGTCAAAATATTGACCAGTAAGTGAATAAAAAAATGATAAAACCCTGACCAAGTAAAAAATAAGAGCGTCATCTTTAACATTTTTGTTTTTGGTTTAAAGTAAAAATGCTACGAGTGAATGGGTTGGCAACAGAATTAAAAACATTTCGTTTTGTCAATTGTTTGCAAGACTGAAACCTAGATATGGCTTTGCTTACAAATGTTGTTAGACTGTTAGTTGTTTCTTTCAGGTTTGTATACGTAAACTCGGTAAACATTTTTTGGCTTCGTGGCGGTGGCGCTGTCTGGTGGTTCAAAAGTTTCGGCCCCTGCCCTTAAATGTAAAAGGGACCTTTTGGACGTTTTGAAAAGTTAAATTTAACGTTAAAGCCTGGTTTACAGTGACTTTTTAGACAGTATCAAAAATCATTTAAAATAAAATTAATTGAAACCATTAAAAAAAAAAATTAAACAGATTTTCGTAATTACTCTGCATTATAAAGTACAATCAAATTGCTTTTGACAGTTTTGATTAAAAATCGTTAATTATTAACCAGAAGGTAAAATATTATTCGAATATAATAAACAACATAAAAAATACCCCGACAATTTAAAAACAAAAAAACCTATTTTTGAATTTCACTGTATCTACTTTTGAAATGAAATAAAGTAATTTTCATGTAGCATGTTAATGACAAATTTCTAAACCAAAGTTGATCTTAATTTGGATTTAGGTTTAATTAATTATTTATTTTTTTATAAATGATTAATCAATTTAGCAATTAATACAGTGATATGACTGATATGATATGTTACTATTTATAACTTAAATGAAAGAATATGTCCTCCGGTAAAGTTTCTTCTTAATAAAAAAGTATCAACTGCAAAAAATGTATTTTCCATTAATTTAGATACTTACATTATTTTTTTGTACAAAGAAAAATTTATTTTTACAAAAGTGATACAAAAGTTAGTTACTATAGAAAAACAAAATTGCTTAAATTTTGTGGCTAACTGTTTCATAAAAAAAATCTTATCTAATAAAATTTGAGTCTTAGCAGTCTGTTGTGTGTACACAAAAGATCTCAACCAACAAGAAAGTTTGATTTTGGTAAGTACATAAAAACCATAAAATTTTATATTTTAATTTGTAACCAATTTTAATTACATTGTCTTTACAACGGCACGTTTTTATCTCTATAAAATACACAAACTATATTCCAGTAATTAAATTATTATGTACATAATTAACACTTATGTAACCATAGGTACATATACCGCTTTGGTATTTTTATACTTGAAGCAGCAAGTTACAATTTTTTTAAACAAATAGACTTAATATTTTCTTATAAAAATCACAGATTTAATTAAAAATAATCGCACTAAATTTATCAAACTTTTTGATACATGATATTCTCTTTGTGTTTTTTCTCCATATCAAGTTGCTTAACTCTTGCATATCCCATACTTCCCAACAAAACAATAAAATTTGAACACCACCAAAGTGCCGACTTAGTTTCTTGATACCAGTAGGTGGCTAAAACAGTCTGAGCACAAGCTTTCGCTGTACCTGATATGTTATGCGTTAAAGCTGACGTATACTGCACAAAAATCAATCGTTAAACAAATTCAAACAATAAATTTGTAATTACCTTTATTTGTAAAGACGTAAAAAATCCAATTGCAAATCCACAGACACCTCCAACTGTCATTATAAACCAAAAATACGTTTGAAATAATTTTGTATAATTGATCAAAACGATGAATTCGTTATTGAAAAGCATCAAAGGAATGAATAAAATTGTGGCGTAAATATTGTTGTAGTAAGATAAAGCCCAGACTTGATTATCAACTTTTGTTAAAACTTTTTTAGTGAATATTGAATAAAGGGATAAAGACAGTGAAGCCAAAACGCCAAAAATGGTGCCACTTATTGATAAACTCCCAGACAGACTTTCTTGATCTACTCCCAAGTAAAACCCAAATATAATTACTCCACAAAAAAACAAACACTGTTTGGATGTCTTCTCCCCCAAAATTAGGAAGGTGAAAGTTACGTTAAAAATCGTGGTCAAAGATCTCCCTATGTAATAAAAAGCAACTGAGACGTATTTTAAACAGAGATTGTTCATCGCTATCATCATAGTAAACATTAGGGATACAGGTAAAATCTATAAAACTAGTTTTAACTAATTATTTCATGTTTAATTGTTACTTACTGTTTTCATTGTGTTTGTATCCCATACACTAGTTTCAGGAAAACTCAAATATTGTGGGAATACTCTAGCTAGACCCTTCTTAACGAAACAAATTGCTGCCGTTATAAATGTTTGATATAAAGCAATAAACATGGGAGCGTCTAAGTTTATATCACTTAGAAGAGTCTTGTTGATAAAAACCGTTAAAATTGAAACCACCCTACAAATAAAATTTTAAATTTCGCGCCATTTTGATTTTGCCAACGCAACAAATCAATTTGGAAAAACAAGTTAAATAGGAAAGTAGATTTACTAACCAATATCCGCTGACTACAAGAAATATTCTAACATATTTCTGTATTAAACTCCCATCAGTTTCTTTTGCAAAAGCCATTTTTCGTGGTTAACCTAATTGTTCTTAAATATGTATAAGAACAGTGGATTTCACATTTCGTTCTTATCTTATCGGTAAGTTTTATAGTTTCTGTATTTCCTAGAATGTCGAAAATGGATTATTTACTATAAAATAAGCCTTAAACAAGTCGGAAATTGACACGTTTGACAGTTGAAAGGTAACATAACCTTTATCTAAATAATAATATAAACTGATGTAAACAAACAATAATAAAAACAAATCAAATATACAAAAGTTTATTATACAATAATATAAAAATATACATTTACAGATACAATAAGACACTATTTTACGGTTTTGGTTTGTCATAAACTGTCAAAGGACTGCCCTGTTGTTGCCACAGTTCTACTGTTTTGTTAACAATCATTTCTGCTAGTTCTTCCGATATCTACAAAATTTCAAATAATCTTACTTATAAACAAAGTCTTATGTCATGACTTACATTATTTACATTTTCTATCACACAATCTAAATTAGTACATCTCATTAATTTATGTTTCATACTAGTTAAAATAACAACAGTCGTGTAAACTAAAATTTTGTATGAACCTCCCATTATTTTGTCCCATATTCTGCAATTAATTTCAATAAAAAATGTTAGATTTAGAGATAAATTAATTACCTTCCTAAAACCATGTCATTTAAAGTTCCTGCAAAACAGCAATCAAACCAGCTTTCTAAAGGCAGATTTTCTAAAGCTTCAATTTTGCTCAAATGCTTATAAAGTTTAAAATCTTCTTTTTCTAATAAGCTATGTGTGGCTTCGATAAGTTTAGGAACTTCACATTGAAACTTTTGCACAAAATCATAAAAACCCTTTGCTAGCCAGTAAATATCAATATCATAGTCAAAATGAAACATCATCGATCTAATAATTGAAAATAGTCCTTTCTCACTTTCATAGTCTGTTTCAAATTTCAATTTACCATTTTGCAAAAGCCACATCGCCACAAATACTTGGGATTTAGGAATATTGTTTGTTATTCTCAGTACGTTTAAGGCGTGTAACAAATTCGAATATTCTTCTTTTCGTTGTTCTGTTACATATTCATGGCATTTTTCCTGCAGCGGTAAAATTTCTACAAATTCAAATTCGCGCGCTCGATGATGACCACTACAACAAAAATAACATACCTAACAATAATTTCCACACTAAATTTCTATGAGCTGCAGGAACACCGAATCTCAAACAAAACTGTTTTAATTTGGACAAGTCTAATGGTTTCTCTTTTAATAAAATTTCAAGGGATCGCTTTTCTTCCACACTCTTAAATCCAACTTTTTCGTAATATGTTGAGCGGAAATTACGTTCGTCAATCGCCATCTTTGTTACTATACGCAGGACGCGATCATTGATCATTACAAAAAAAAATAAATCATTAAACACAATTTTATTAATCTACAACAGTTTAGTACACGTGTACCATTCCATAGATAAATGTCCAACATAGTATATAAGTGAACAATTGACCAAAAAACCCATTCGTGAGAAGAGATTTACGAGAAATAAAGTAGCTTTTCCAACTTGAAAGTCCAGCTTTACAAAGGATCATTAACCATAAACTTGTTACTGCAAAAATGTAAAAAGCAGCCCCATATAAACCTGTTAAACCCAATACTCCTAAAATATAGTAATTTAAAAACCGTCAGGTGTCCCCAGAAATCACTCACCAGCAGTGCAGCCCGAGAGGGCTGCCATAGACGTACGACAATATTCTACCACAGACAAATTATTCCTAATTGCCATATCACTATAAGCAATCACATTAGAACTGCTCCCATTTTTATTTTTCGACGACATACTTCCTTCGAATGGTACTTTAATTTATTTTCATTAAAGCAAAACTGACAACTGTCAAGTTTGTCAGTAGTTTATTTTTCATTTAGAAAAATTCATTATACCACAGACCTACGCCGTTAGGTTGAGAAGTACGGTATTTGCGAAAAAAGCATTTTTGTGGTAAAAATCTGTAATTTTTTGATGAATGTAAGTATTTAGGGATTTATTTGAAATACTTGGATTACATGCATTTGTAAGAGTTATTTGTTTAATAAAAAATACGAATTAATGACACATTCAAATTTGTCAATTTTGGCATTGCATTTTCCAAAATTTTTACGAATAAATTATTGTAAAAATGGATCAATTTAACGTTTTGGGTACGTTTGATGTGCCTTAGCCCCCCTAAAACATCTCCGAATTTAGAAACGCGATGGAGTCTCGAATTCCAACGACGCCGCGAACTAATGAAAACAATGAAGGCCCCCACAATATCAGAAGTCAAAGTAGTGTCTGGTTTACCCCTGGCTTTAGTAATTTTCGAACAAAGTCACGAAGACATACAAGAAGACCTCGGAGTTGTTCCATCTTTAGAAGGTCCTAAAGGTGAACTATGGGTTTCCCCGAGCGATTTACTTATCGGAAAAGTCGCATTGACTCCTCCTCTGACACAGAAACATATCCAGGCCTTAACGCACCAAGGAATTATCGGTGAGATCTCTCACTATGTCGAAATTTATTTATTAAAAAAAAAATATTTCGACAGCGTTGGGTAGTGAAATTGAAGAGAAGTTTGTCAACGAATTCAAAATGGAAAAAGAGAAGGCTATCAAAGAACGTGAAATTTGTCTAGGGAAGATTTTCGAGGTTGAAAAAGCGCGAGCTATTAAAGAAGCCCTTCAAGCTGAGGAACGCAAATTTGCGAAACGAATGGACGAAATGCGTACCGTTTTTGAAAATAAAATCAGTCAGCTTTTGTGGGAATGCTTCGATCAAATAAAAACATTAGAAGAACAACTTCAGGTTGAAATTGGTTCGCTTAACGTGATATGGCAAGCGCATCTGGATGCCCAAATAAAGGAAACAATAGATCGAATTACAGAGGAATTTTTAGAGAAAATGAGGCAGCAAGAGATGCTTTTAGTCAATATTTATACGAAAAAAATCAGGTGCTTGTCTATTTTATCTTTGTATTTTTTGTTGTTACACGTTACAATTGTAGGGAATTAAAAACGAAGAAAAAATGTGCTATTGAATTCGAGCGTCGCAAGTGTAAAGAAACACTGATACAAATGAAGCATAAACTTCATTGTGAGAATGTAGCAAATCTGATGTATCTCCTGTGCAAAGAAAGAAGAAAATGTAAAAATGAGAAAGAGTCAATACATGATGATTATTTAGCACAAATAAAACAGCATAGAATGACCATACGGACCAAAAATAATACTATTAAAAAATTAAAAGCAATTCGCGATAAAAAGACAAAACAGGTCAAAGTGAGAGAAAGATGCTTGATTGAAATTTTGAGACAATTCCAGAAATTTATTAATTACGCACTTAAAGCAACCCCCACCCAAGGCGAATTTCTGCTAAACATAAATAAATTAATTAAATTTGAATTGGACGATTATTGCCTCCCTCAAGAAATAAAGGAAGAACAAAGCAAAAAAACACCTCAAGTTATTGAAGTCTCTTCATCCCTAGGGGAAGAAACCGATGATTACACTAAACAAATTGAACAATTCATAAAAGAGCAAAATTCTGAAGACAATTTTGAAGAAAGTGACGTTTTGCCTGCCTTCTATTTTAACAATAAGGTTTACATTAGAGAAGATTTCCGAGACATGCTTGAGGCCGGAATAGAGGTCGATCGCAAAAATTCCTTGTGGAACCCCGACGTCGAAGAATTAATTCAGATTTTCCGAAGACAGATCAGTGCAAAACTAACTGACAAATCCGACAGAAGGTCTATCAGTAAATTGTCACGTCATTCGAGTGTCCATTTTAATCACGAAAAATCACCCAGTAGTAGTTGTTTGTCACAACAAATTCTAGCAGTATCTCCCGTTACATCCAAAGCATCGCATCACGACTCGACCCATATTTGTGAACTCAAGACTTCAGCAATACCAACGCCATCAATGGACGAGGAGGAGAAGGAAATCAGGAAGGTGTCGCTTGAAACGGAAAAAGACAAGAAAAAGCCAAAGAGACCGTCGATTATTATTAAAGAGTCGGAAGGGTCTACGAAAAAACGGGAATCTACTGATGCAACCTCTGATTTGATAACACCGGACCTACGATCGCATCTTACAACTCAATCGAAGCTGACTTTGGCACGAGACTCTTTGATTTTACACATAACTTCTATGGAAAGGAAATCTATTCAAATAATGGCGAAAATGGCCGATGCTGGCTCTATCGGGAAAACTAGTAATTTGGAAGAAAAATTAATCGAACTAAAAAGTTCGCCAGTGGAGGATGACCAAGAGTTGAGCTTTCAAGAGGATGAGATGAAACCATTAGAGACACAGTCAATCGGAAGTCGGGGAAGTCTTCAAAAACCGCCAAGCAAGCCCACATCAAAACTTTTATTAGCCAATGACTCGTATGAATTGATCAAATCAACAATCGCTCTAGTTGGAGAAAAAGAAAAAGACAAAGAAGGTCTAGAAACAGACATGGAACAAAAAAAATCTCAATTGACTTTTAATTCTAAAATTTCAGTTGAAGGTCGCACTTTTGAGGCTAGTGCTGTCGGTAAAACACTTAAGGGAAAACAAATAAAAACACCACGTAATAATCTAATTACGAAATTTTACGTTTTTACGATTTCTTTCAGGTGGTAAGAAACTAACTCCAATGAAACAAACGCCACGATCAGTTGTCAAAGTCGCCGGTTCGCGTAAGACGAAAGAACACGCGCAAACAGTGGACGAATTTACCGATGAAAGGATCAAGGATTTGGTTAATTTGATGAAAGAAAATCCGAGTTTAATTCACCTATTTACTCCATGCTCAAAATAATCATTTCATGTTTTGTTTCATCTGTCGCACCAATACACTTGTTTTTATTATAACTTTGTTTTTTAGTGCCATGACTTCCTTTAATTTAGCTAAACGTTCTTCTACATACTTTTCAGCTGAAAAAGCCTCGCCGTCTTTACACTGTTGGATAAGTTCGGCTTGGAAAAGTTTTTCTTTGTTCCATTCGCGTCTTTGCCGTTTCTACAATCAATTACAAGTGAAATAATACTTCAAAGGGAAAATAAAAAATACTTTTGCCCACTCAAACTTCATTCTTTTCCTCAATTTTTTCAACTTGTGCCTTTTCATTTTGCGCCGTCTTATCGCAATCAAACGCGCTGCTTCTTTCGTAATGCCCCCATTTATGGTAGGTAATTCGATTCCTTTACTTAAAGACGGGTCCTCCAATGGGGGTACATATTTTAAACCGTTGGGTAAATCAATGTGAATTATATTTTTGATTTTTGGTGTTTCCACTTTATCATTTTTTTGCCATATCCATGGATTATTTGTTAAACTTACTTGTGGGATAAGAGATGTTATGACGGGGACATTATTTGAGGTTATGTTACGCGCAAAAGTCAGGCAATCTAGAATAAGTTAATAAAGGTTTATCAAATATTAACTAATTTCAATTTACGAACGTCTGAATTGATTGAATCGAAGGATTCTTGTTAAACAAGCCATAAATGAATTTCTTGATTCTATTACTCTTTTAAGCAACCTCACAGAACACCTACAACATGCTTACAACCTATACCGCCAACCTAAAAACAATTATATTACTAAATTTTGGCGCCTAGCTTTAAACCATTGACATCCTACTATCATGTCAATGCTTTAAACTTAATGCGCAGAGTCGGGCAACCAGCAATACACAAATCTTGGATCAATATTCCACAACTTTTTCAAATTAATTGTGTTTCACAGTAAGTATTACGAAACTTGCGCCTAAAAAAAGATTCGCTGCAAACGCGTTAAAAAAAATGCAGTTTTCTGTAGTTTATGCACCCCAATAAATATAAGGGGCAATAATAAAAAAGGGTCATAAAAATAAAGAAAAATAGTGTACCTACTGGCAATGTCAACAAACACGGACAACTATAATAAAAGTGTCTGTATAATGCTTATATCTCATAAGAGTTCTTTTATAATAACGAAGACATGATTTTTTTAAATTTCGCTAAAAAGTTAATTTTTGTCTATAAGTCGAAAACAAAATACGATAGCGGAATGCGGATATGACCAAAAGTACGTATTTTCTCAAAAATGAAACTCGAGGATGTACCACTCATTTTTTTTAACTTTCTAGTTTCGTAGATATTGGACATCGAAAATTTTTATTATTAAACAGAACTTATTTTAGGCAAATTTATTATTTTACCTATTTCTCAATCTCAATGTATTAAAAAAGCGAATAATTTTCTCATTTTTACCAACTATCAAACTTGAAATTTGTCATAAATGTCAATAAAAATGTCCTCAAAAGAAGAAATCGAAATTGATACAAATGAAAGTGTTGGGTCGAACAGATTAAACAAAAGTCATAAATGTGATCACAGATGTGTCCATCAAGGTGAACGTATTTGTTATAATGAAGGAGAAGATAATAAAGAAGCGGTTAAAAGAATACCTGAAGGAACAGCCTCTTCGGAATCTATCAACTCTACAGAATTGGACAGTCTACATTCTGGGGAATCGTTATTTAAGGTTTAAAACAATCAGTTGGTCCTTTCTTAGAACTAAACATTTTTTACAGACATTTAACTTCGAGGCTTCCGATAATGATCCTGACATGGAAAAATGTATGACTTTTTGGAAAAATGTTTTGGCAAAAAATGTAAAACCAATAAAGTGTACATTACTCAGAACCAAGAAAACTAAAGACAAAGAAAAAGAAAAACAAAAGGCAGAAGTGAGACAAGATATAATAAGACATAATGACCCTTGCAAAGACGATGATACCCGTAAAATGTGGTTAGATATCTACAAAGACTTGCAAAGACGAAAACTGGACAAGTTAAAGGTGAATTAGTATTACATATTTAATTACCATTACTTAAAATTCTGATTTAGTTGGTAAAGTCAAAGAAATGTGAGCCATGTGAAGAGTACATTGACGAAGAACTATTAAAAAAACAGGACGCTGAAGATATTAAAAAACTGAACCATTGGAAATCACAAAAAAGACCTTCTGGTAATTTCATACAGCTTTTATTTACTTATAAAAAAAACTTTATATAGCCGGAAAATATGACATCGGTTCCCAAGTGCAGCGTACTCTTCGAGTCCTCAAAGCAGCTCGAACGTCAAAAGATGAGTCAGACAAAAGACACTCCTCAAATGAATCCAAAGTAATGCAAACTTTAAAATCTGTAACTGAATCCAACATCAAACACACTGCTAAACCTAAAACTGAAAAATTCAAAGCTGAATCAGAAGTTACTCCTAGTAAACCCTCATCGGCTGAAAAGAAATCCCAAGTTTCTGAAAAAAATGAACCTGGAAAAGAAATCACTCAAATTGTATCGGACTTGAGCAAATCAAGTGCACTGTCAAAACCGTGTTCTGGGGGCGGCGAAGCGCCTGTACCCCTTGATTTGAGCTTAAACAAAAGTTGCTGCAACTGTGGTTGTGCAATCGACGATTGCATTTGTGCCGAAATTGATGAATTAGTTTCAAACACTCCCGAATTCCTAAAAAAGACGGAATTAGAAACTTGCAGCCCTTGTGACTGTGGCAATGTTTGTGCTTGTGAACCACACCAACAACAACAGGCAAATGTTTGTTGTTGCGGATGTGGCGCCCAGGAATGCATTTGTCAGAATTTGGAAAAATGCCCGTGTGGTTGTGGCGTGGAAAATTGCATTTGTCAGAATTTAAATGCAATGAGGAGTAAAGAATGTGCTTGTGGGTGTGGTTTGGATGAATGTATCTGTGAACAATTATACACAAAGAGGTGTAAATGTGGTCATGCCGACTGCACTTGCGATATGATTGAAATTCTGACAACTTATTTAGAGACTTTGGAGACTCCGCCCGCTGTTAAGGCTGGACTTGACCAGGACAGTTTGAAATTTACCACTCAAGAAGCACAGACTGAAGAACAAACATTGCTGTTGCAAACGACCCAAAAGGAGGGCACTTACTGCTTGATCTGTGGACATTTTAATTGTTATTGTAATAAATAAATGACGATTTTGTTGCAATCGGGAACCCATTTCGTAGGTAACTACTGGCTGTGATATATTACTAAAATACATATCACACCAGAAGTTCCTTCAAGCCAGATTCCCTGAGTATCACTCGGCTTCTCACATTATTCCTCGTCGTACAGTCGAATGCAATCTGCTTTGCTGAACCAGCTTTATGATATATAAAACACTCATACAACTAGATCACCAAAGAAGAATATATCCGACTTGCAACCTGTTGCACAAAAAAAAACCCACAACGGAAAACAAAAGTAGCAGCGTTGACCAAACCCAGGTTGCAAGCGAGTGTTCGATCTAGTCACAATTGAAACAAATGTGAAACAATAGACTGAACACTAGCTTACACCGAGAGCTCTACCGAAAGCAAGGTTATGTGCATTTTGTGGCATTTGCTACGAAAAAACCTAAGTAAAAACAAAACAAAATCAACAGGATTACTTGCACGCACGTGCATCAGTACTAGACATAACAATAAACAAAAATAACATTAATTTCTGATAAAAATGCCAACTTACCACGTGCTTTGTTCAACGGAATTCCCGAAGCAAATGGAAACAGCAATGGCGAATGATGGCGGGAAGCAAACTAATGGGAAGTTAGTTGGTAGCGCGCATGCGCACGAAGAATGTAATGGGCGCCAAATTACATACCTGTTGAGGTAGGTCTTTTTTGTTTGGTAATGCTAATGAATTACCGCATTCCACAAGAACGGGACTTAATTTCAAGCAATTATTCACAAATTGTCAATTTCTGTGCAGTTATCAAGAGGAGTTTGAGACTAAAATGATCAAAAGTGAAGATTTTTGGTACAACTGTACCCCACAAATTATTCCTACCTGCTCAGGTATAATTCTTGATGGGGGTCTATTATTCTGGAGGGTAAATGTACGTTAAAGTTGATTATTTAAATGAGGGTCGGACCAACCTTCGGGGAAGAAATAGGTATATGGGAACACACGAATGTTAAATATAACTTTATTTCTTGTGAAAATAATGATTTACCGGAATTTTCAGTCTGGTAACGTTAAATTTTTAAAATTAGATTAATACAATAGTAACATTAAATGTTGGTACAAAAAGCATACATTTATTAGAAGAAAAAATTACTGAAGTAGTAAAGTTAAGGAAAAGTACTACCATACAATAGCTGATTATTATACAGGGTTATTCATAGATATGAAGCAATATTTGAACCTCAAAAATGACCTATAAAATGTTGTTAATTTAAATAATAACTCGTGTCCGATTTCTATTCATAAGAATTTTACAGCCCTCGGAATGTGGGTATGGAAATTTGTTTTTTTGTAATAACTTCGGAACCATTTGACCAAATATTATAAAATTTGAATGGTTACTTGCGAAAATATACCTTTTAAACTAAAAATTACGAAAACCGAATACATCTACTCAATTTCCGGTTCCAGTAATTGCAGGTCATATTTTCTGTGTTTTTTTTTGTTTTTTTGGCTTCTTGACATTATTTTTTTTTTGTCAAAACAATAGAGTAATCAATTTTGAATAAAAACGCATAAGCTTTAATACTTCTAAAATTGACCGTTTTAAAGATATTTTAATTTTAAGTGAGTACTACACAACACTAACAGCAAAAACTATGAATTTTTAATGAGTAATATCCACGGCAACAAATGACCATGGTTAGGTTTTGCTGTCAGGCATCTGTCAACTTGAGATTGGACGATTATTAGACGATTAATCGAAAATATTTAATAAAAGAGTTTACCTCAGATTCCAAACATAACTTAGAATAAATCCAAATGGATCTCGTAGCATTTAATTCATAAAGAATTCACAACAATTTATCGTTAAAATTAACATACCGTTAAAATTAACCTACCACTTATTCAAAATTCATATTTTTCATTTTCAGCGTTGTGCAGTCCTCACTTTAAATTAAAATATCTTTAAAACTGTCTATTTTAGTGGTATAAAAGGTTATGCGTTTTTTATCGAAATTGATTACTTTTTAGATATAAGTAATAAAAAATTAATGTTAAGAGGCCAAAAAAACGGAAAAACACAGAAAATGTGACCTGCAATTACTGGAACCGGAAATTGAGTAGATGTATTCGGTTTTCGTAATTACTAGTTTAAAAGGTATGTTTTCGCAAGTAACCATTTCAAATTTTATAATATTTGGTTAAATGGTTCCGAAGTTATTACAAAAAAAACAAATTTCCATACCCACATTCCGAGGGCTGTAAAATTCTTATAAATAGAGATCGGACTCGAGTTTATTATTTAAATTAACATCATTTTATAGGTCATTTCTGAAGTTCAAATATTGCTTCATATTTATGAATTACCCTGTATATATAGAAATAATCAATTGATGTCATCACTTAACGTTGCTAATTTTTTATCTAAAACCAAGTTAACAAACAGAATGTTGCAAAGCTTTACAATTATTTTTTGAGGATGTCTTGTAGGTATCTCTTGAAAAATTTTGTGTTTAGTTTTTGGTACGAAGAAAAGTGTGAATAAGCCAGCTAAGAAACAGAAAACAAGCAAAACGTTCTTTATTTACCGAAATTATCATTCAAGTTATTGAAAAATTTCGTAATAATGAAACTACCGAACCATCAGCAAGTCTAAGACACTACAGATATCCCAAAGGACTTGACATTTGGTGCGAATAACTTAGAACCTTGTCCAAGACAAGGGAATAAATTCCAAATTAGCACTTAAAACTGGTAGCCAGGAGAAAGGAGTGACGTCACAATGAACCGTGTCTTTCAAGTAAAATGCAACAAATGCTATCATCATCCCAAAAACTGAAATCAGGAGAAATATCTTTTGGCCTAAAACCGATCTTCAAAAAATGGTGAAAAATAAGACTAGTATCTGATAATAACTGAGGAAAATGCGGCCGAATGTTGAAAAATTGTGAATGTTGAAAATGAGTTGAGTGTAAAATACAATAACATTAATTCCTGATAACTGCTGAAAACTCATTGAAATTGCTAAAGTTTTACGATTATAGCTTTCGTTTTAAATAAATCTCCGAAATTCTTTTTCTTCTGTGATTTATTATTGATGACGGGATATGGATAAGTTCTTTAGTGATCATAGGTACAACTTCGACTAGTTCCTCTTAGTTTCATCATCAAACTTTTCTTGGCTTCATCAATTCTATTCTTACCTATCAAATAGGACGGCGTTTTTGGCGCTACTATTACAAATAAGATAAAGAAAAATATCGGTAATAACGATGACTTTAAACATGTTGGGTCCTAAAACATACAGAATCAAGTGTCGAAAAGACCAGAAGATACCTAAAAACAGTGTGTGTGTGCGCGTGGATGATTTTTTTTATTACAAATAGCGTTATATTAAAAAAAATATTTATAGTAAACTAAAATAAATAAAATTGAGGATTATATAAAAAATTACCATAGCTATTAAAAGTAGCAAGCCTCATGCACACTGCTTTCTAATTTTGACCATATTTTTTAATGTATTAAAATTAATTATTATTAAAATAAATTAAGTAATTATATTAAATTTATTAATTATATTAAAATAAATTATTAACTAGCGCTCTTGTTTGCTGGTCAACTTTCGAGGGAAGTAATCTAATAAGTATATGAGAACGCACGTATGACAAACAACTTTATTTTCTGTTGTAATTATTTTTCCAGAATTTCTTGTATCTCTTGGAAACTTTTACCTTTGGTTTCTGGTACGAAAAAAAATGTGAATAAGCCGGCCAAGAGACAGAAACCGGAGAACAACCAAAATGTTCCCTCTTTACCGAAAATATCATTTAAATCGTTGAAAAATTTCGTAACAATAAAACTATCGAACCAACAAATGAATGACACTAAAGATATCCCAAAGGACTTAACATTTGGCGAAAATAACTCAGAACTCACTGTCCAAGGCAAAGGACCAAATCCCAAATTGAGGGACACGATGTATAACACTACACTCAAAATTGGTAGCCAGGAGAAAGAAGTGACGTCATAATAAACCGTGTCTTTCATGTAAAAAAAAGCACCAAAAATTGCCAGTGCAGTCATCATTCCGAAAGCTGAAAACATGAGAAATAGCTTCCGGCCTAATCGATCTGCGAAAAATGGAATAATCAAACTGGTGAAAAATAAGACAAGTCCTATAATTATTGAAGATATTTCGGCCGAAATGTTGGACCCAGTGGTCTCAAAAATGAGTTGGGTGTAAAACAAAATGGCACTAATCCCTGATAATTGCTGGAAACTCATCAAAATCACCGAAATTGCTAAAGCTTTGCGATTAGCTTTCGTCTTAAATAAATCTCCAAAGCTTCCTTTCTTCTCCTGTTTCATTGATGACTGAATGTGGATGATTTCTTTACTGACCATACTTCGACTCCTTCCTCTCAATTTCATCAAACTCTCCTCAGCCTTATCGATGCTATTCTTACTTATCAAGTAGTACGGTGTTTCTGGCGCTAGCGTCACAAATAACACAAAGAAAAGTAACGGCACGCACGCTAGCGTGACATTAAATGCTACAATTGACATGTAGGGCCCCAAAACATACGGTATCAAGTTTCCAAAAGTCCAGAATATGTTTAAAGTCACTGATAACATCCCCCTGTTTGAATCTTCAGCAACTTCCGCGATGTACAAAGGGAGGATTGTACACGCTGCACCAAGGGCAATCCCGGATAAAAACCGGGCGAAATAGTACCAGTAGAGGTGTTGCACTAGGGCTAGTATCCCAAAGGAGATTATGTAAGGAACTGAAATACACAAAAGTGATATTTTTCGACCGAGTTTTTCCGAGAGAAAACTAAAAGGAAAAGGTCCGATAAGAGCACCGATGTTAATTAGTGAACCAATCCAGGATTCTTCATCGGGAGTTATAGGTCGGCCTAATGGGTTTATGTTCGAGTCATTTGAATAGAGTTTAGGGAGTATCGGGGATGTCCATGTTATAGTTATGTCGCCACAAGTTCCCAAAATATCGACTAAAATAAGTTTGATGATTGTTATTTTTTTTTGGGAGATTATACGTACCAGTAATAACAGTGAGAAATGTGTACGAACAAAATTTATACATGGTTATAAGTTAGTCAAGGACTTTTTCTTATGTTACTTAATAAAATTTCGTCTTTGTAATAAAATACCTTTATTTGTACGTAGAATTAAAATGATTTATAACAAGCGTGTTGTGTTATTTGAAATTAAAGAATACAATAAGGTGTAATTAAAATTTTAAGTAATAAGTAAATTGAAGTAATTATTGTATTACGAGTAAACTTACTACAAATATTAAGATGTCGTTGTCAGGTTTGATTTTGTATTTCGACTTTATTTCTTATACGACTTACTGAAAAAAAATTTTTCTTGTTCAAAAATAGTGTCTTACGTGAATACTGCAGTATTGTGAAAGATAGTTTTGCTAGTTGAGACATAATTAAGTAATTATTAGGCTTTATTGGATTTATTTAAGCATTTACAAAATCAAGATTTCAAAAATAAACTAAAAATACATACATAGAGATAATAGGACTGCTGTAACGTGTTTTTTATTATTTTAATCGATAATTCAGTTGTTCGACAATTATATTTTTATGCACATTTAAAAAAATATATCACTGTTTCCACTGTCATTTTATCGCTTATTATCAATATAATTGTAAAATATTCCATCAGATTTTTTCCTCAATTTATAAACATTTTTAAAGACACTTCAAGATTGCTTATCGATTTAAACAGAATAACATTATCACTATTATACACATTTATTATTTTGCATTGTTTCCGTAATCACAAAACAATCAAATACGTTGAATTTGTCCACCCACTTTCAGCTTGCAAGTCACCTTTCCAAAATCTCCTGTATTTCTTGAAAACTCTTTCCTTTCGTTTCTGGGACAAAAATAAACGTAAATAACCATGCAACCAAACAGCAACCACCAAAGAACCAAAACGTTTCTCCTTCACCCAAACTTTTTTTCATATCTGTGAAAAATTTAGTCACGAAGAAAGAAGTGGTCCAACAAGCAAACGAAACTAAAGATGCAGCGTAAGGCTTGACACTTGTTGGAAATAATTCTGATGAAACAGTCCAAGGTAAAGGACCTATACCTATGTTAAATGTCACGATAAAAACTACTAAACATGCAATAGGGAGCCAAGAAATTGCACTGGTGTCTAAATTTGTTGAATTCTTAAGATAGAAATAGATGCCTAACGCTAGAAGAGATAGAGAGATTCCAAGAAGTGAGATCAAGAGTAGAAGCCTTCGGCCGAGACTATCAGCCACAAATGGAGTGCCAAAACTTGAGAAAAATATCACTACACCTATAATAATAGACGAGACTTCAGGTTTCAAACCATTGGCACCAGCAGCAGTGAAAATTTCTTGAGTGTAATACAAAATAGCGCTAATTCCAGAAAGTTGTTGCGCGATTATCAAAACTACCGAAATGATTAAACCTTTCATGTAAATCCTTGTTTTGAAAAAATTAATAAACGTTCCTTGGGACTCATTTTTGGCCAATTCGGACTTGATGTATTGAATTTCATTCTCTACTACTTTCTTGTTATTGGATCGCAGCTTGAGAAGTGATTTCTCCGCTTGAATCATTTTATTTTTGCCAATAAGAAAATACGGAGATTCGGGTGCTATTAAGAAGAATAAAATAAAAAAAGATGCTGGTACACATGCTAAGATAATATTGAACCAAAAAATGGATATGTATGGGCCTAAAACGTATGGAATTAAATTTCCAAAAGTCCAGAAAATGTTTAAAGTCACTGATAAAGTTCCTCGGTTTGAATCTTCGGCGATTTCCGCTACATACATGGGGAGGACTGTGTAGCCACCACCGACGGCAATACCTCCCAAAACTCTTGCAAAATAATACAAGTAGACTGTTTTTGACACTGCGAGGGTTATGTAGGAGATGATGTGAGGGATTGCGATCAAAAGCAGACTAATTTTGCGACCGTATCTCTCGGCGATGAACCCAAATGGGAATGGGCCGACCATAGCACCGATGTTTATCAAAGAACCAATCCATGATTCGGTGTCAGAGTCTATGGGTTTTCCTAAAGGGTTAATATCTGAGTCGCTTGAGCTCAGTTTTGGCAGGATCGGGGAAGTCCAAGTCCCTGTTATGTCGCCAGAAGTCGCCAAAAGGTCGACTAAAAATTAATTCTAATTTACAAAATTTATAATACTTAATTATTAAGTAACTTACCAGTCAGGACTGTTAATAAGGTGTAACTTAACAATTTAAACATTTTCTATGGTAACAGTTGTCAATAAAAGATATGTTTTGAGAGTTACGAGTTATTTTATCTGCCCATCATGAAAGTTGATTGTTAAATAATTTTATCTTTTTTACAAATCACTGACTATCTGGCCCATCATTGGTTTAAAAATTGAACACGTGTTACAGTTTTGGTCTTTAATACTAGTGCACTTGCGTTTCGTTGAAAAGAACGAATGTTTTTGCTCGAGGCCACTTTATGATCATGCACCCACACAAACTAATGATTTTGGCATTGTTATCGGCGAAATAATTATCTTTGAATTTATTTTAGTATTGTTTTAAATGGAATTTACTATGACTTTTTAAATATTAAGCGGGAGGTGGTGTCAAGTATCAAGTACAACATGGTTTAAATCAAGACTGAACTTGGGCTGACTAAAATTTATTGTTATGTAATTTATTGTTTTGTAATAGTTCATGCGTAAAATAATATGTTGTTCAGAATTATTATGTTGAAAATAATAATATTCCTTTTTTTACTTTATTTTGGTTTATAAATACATACTAGCATATTTAGTCGTTTACTGGAAAAGCATTTTTTTTCCAATTTTTCCATAGAGAGAAATAACAATTTCAATTTTTTAATCAACCAGAAAGATAGAGAAATGTACTACCAAAGTACAGTAAATAGTCGTATGCCAATTAAAAAAAAATGAGCCATAACAAAGATATGAATTTTGTGCGTTTGGTTGTACCACAGTACTTTTGGTTCAATCTTTCGTAACCTTGAGCTTGTTTCATTTTATATTTTACATTAAAAAAGTAGGTATTGTACATTGACACAGTTATAGGTTTTGAGTAATAAAATTATATCTGATACAAATTATACATTATCATTGATATAAAAACTTAAATTAGTTACGGAAAATAGCTTCGATTTCATCAAAGCCCTTTGTCTCGAAAATGAAGAAAAATGTTATCACAGCAAAAAACAAATAACATCCAGCAAACAGCCAGAACGACTCTGCATATCTACAACATCTAATAACAAAAACAAAGTCAATAGACAAGAGAAATACCAAAAAACTATCAGTAAGAAAGTTGTTTTCGTCAAAACTTTTGTTGGTAAAAGAGAAGAAGAAGTGAATGATTGAGATAATTGAATAAATTTCGGGTGGGACTAAACTTTGAGTCGCATTTTAAATATGACTTGCATGTAACTATTAAAGAATGTATTTTTGAAAGTTGGGTGAAAATCACTAAATAGGAGACGCAAAAAAATGCTTTGATCCAACCTCTGTTTCTGAAGATTTCCAAATATGAATCTTCCTCTTTTGAATCCAATTGTGATTTAATTTGAGTTATCAGTTTGTCAATGTTTTTATCAAATAATCGCCAAAGATAATGAAGTGATTTAAAAGCTTTCGCTTCTTGTTTCCTCTGTATTAAATAATACGGCGATTTAGAGACCAAACAGCAAAAAATCGGGAAACAAACAAGACATATTGCGACTAGGGTTATATTATACAACATTACAGAAACAAAAAGACCCACACTGTACGTGAACACAATTTCCAATACTAGCAAAAGTCCAGACGAAGACATTAAAATTCCCCTATTTACATCTTCTGCGATTTCAGTGTTGTACACGTGACAAGCGTAGAACAGGCCTCCGCAAGCCATACCCATTAAAATTCTTGCAGTGTATGAAATTTCGATAAGTGAAGTGAAAGCTGCAGTTAGGAAAGCTACCAAGAAAAATGTCATTACTAAAATTCTGGTAAATCTCCGACCCACTTTCTGTGTTACAAATCCGAATAAAATAACCCCGAAAATAACCCCAAATGACAATAAAGACCCGATTAATGATATTTCAGTTTCTGTTATTATGCGTCCAAGGGGATTTTGTTTCGGTTCGTTGGTTAGTAGTTTGGGGATCAAGGTGCAGCCAGTTATGAAAGCTGCGACATTTGCTAAAATATTTTTTTATTATTTTATTAATTAAAAAAAAAACTGACTTTATTCTTTTGATAATAATGGAGTCTGGGTTTAACGTTAAGTAGACAGATAAAATCTTATTATTCAACTTGTAATAAAAATATAATTTTAATTTTTTAAATGTGGTCTTTAACTTTTTTTAACTTTAATTTTAACTCATGGTGTTTTATTTTTACTTATTTATTTTTTTATTAATATGCTTATTTGTATAAGCAAACTTAATGGGTTTTTAAGAAACATGTCGAGTATAAATATGTATGTATTACATATAAAAGAAATAACTAATTGCTAATTTGTATTTGAAATGAAATATTAAAATTCAATAGAAAAAATTGTAACACACTGGTAGCTAATTAAACACAAAATAATAAGACAGAAAAATCATCGAGATATAAAAAACTTTTTGCCACTTTTTTACTATACCAAGTTAATTATAATAATTAGCAATTATCTCGTTTTTTTTAAACGTTCTTGATTTTAAGAAGCTTATACGAATTGCATTTTTGTTCTTATTTTTATCAAAATAAAACTTTAACAACTTTAATCCCAACGTTACAATTATTTTTCGAGAACTGCTTGTATCTCTTGAAAACTTTTACCTTTGGTTCTCACTCGGTAAGGGTTTTTTTCTATAAGTGACTCATCCTAGTATATTTAGTAGTTAGGGGTACGAACTGATGTGAACAAATCCTACCTTATAATTATTATCTAATCTGTCACAACGTTTCCAAGTAATAAATCATTTATTATACATATTTTCACAAAATTTATTAACAAAAAGTTATGACAAATAAATATCCATAGAAAATATACACAATAAACAAACAAGTTTGTTTCAATAATAAGTACTCGTAGTATTTTAGGTATTTAGGTTTTTTTTTATTAACAAAAATATAATGGTATCTCTTGTTGTTTAAATTTTATTGCAAACTTCATTTAATCATATCCTACCTATTTAAAATATCATTTATTTCCTGCAAACTTTTGCCTTTTGTTTCAAAAATAAAAAAATACACAAAAAAGTCAAACAAAATACAGAATCCTGAAAAGAGCCAAAATGAACCCGCGCTACCAATTGCCTCGTTCAAAGACGCGAAATACTGAGTCAAAACCCAGCCAACAAACCAATAAATACAAGTTATCAATAATGTAGCTTTCGATATAACATTTGAGGGTAAGATTTCGGATATGAGTGCCCAAGGGAGTGAGCCCATCCCACAATTATAAAACATCATAAAAACAATAAGAGTAACCACAGGCAACCAGCCAATATCAGAAACATCTTGCCCGCTATTTTGCATATAGAAATATGCTCCTAAGACAATTTCTGATAAAGCTGCTCCTGTTATACTTATCAGGAGTAAAGTCCTGCGTCCCGCTTTATCACTGAGTAGAGGAGAAATTACTGAAAAAATCATCTGAACTGCTGCTACAGCAATTGAAGAAATTTCAGACGGAATGTTACTCCCGGTCGAGTCAAAAATGTTTTGCATGTAGGAAAAAATAACGTTGATTCCACTAAATTGTTGGAAAGTTGTCAAAGCGATACTGTAGACTAGAGCCTTAGTACTTGCTCGTGTTTTAAAAATTCCTAAAAATGAACTGTGTGTCATTGTTTGCAAATAAGTTTTGATTTGGTTTAATTCTTCTTCGAGTTGTTTGAGAGGACGCCGTCTAAGATAATGCAAGGATTTCAGCGCTTCTTTATCTTGGTTTATACTTACTAACCAGTAGGGAGTTTCAGGAGCGATATACCAAAACAATATCATATAAAAGAGAGTGATAAAAGCAAGAATTAAATTAAAAATCATAATAGAAACAAAGGGTCCAACACAATACGAAAATAACAATCCTACCACAATAAAAAACCCAACAGACGCAGTTAACAACCCCCGATTTGAATCTTCAGCAATTTCGACTACATAAATAATCGAAACGCAAAACATTCCACCTATTCCTATCCCCATTAGCACTCGAGCTAAATAGAATAGGGCGATAGTTTGGGCAAAAGCTGCCACTAAGTAGGCTACCAAAAAAGGAATTGCGACTATTATGGCGACCGTTTTTCGTCCCACTTTCCACACGAGACTACTCCAAATAAAAGGGGCTACAATACCACCCACTGAGAGTAAAGATCCGATCCATGAGGCTTCATCTTGTGATATCAGACGACCAAGTGGTGATTCGTCGAAGTCTGACTGGAGTTTTGAGATTATAGGCGATGACCATGATGAAGCTGTTCCAACAATAAATGCCAAGATATTGACTAAAATTTAATAACTAAAAAATAAAAAGTGTTAAGTGGGTATTTACCAGAAGCTGCAGCCATAAATGAGTACTTGCCTCCTTTAAAAAAACCCATGTTGTACTACTGGTTTGGATTTTATCAATGATGCCAGTTGATCAGTTTAGTTCTTAAATTGAGATGATTAGGAGCTTCTTTATTTTGTCTGATAAGATAGAAATAAGGTAATCCATGCTTGTGTTTGTAAGGAACTTTTAATCTTTTTGTGTAATATTATATATAGTAAATGAAATTACTTAGTCGGTCAAGGGTAGATTTTGTTTCGGCTAAAGTCAAATATGTATTTTTATTATTATAAAATCAGCAAATTACATCACGTTGCATTGATCATGCTTTTAAACTTTGATCTATTTTTTTAACGTTTTTGTGCAATTAATAGGTGTGTAAAAAATTATCAAATACTTGATATAAATTATTATGGAATTATAAACATATTATTACATTTGAAATTTTAAAAATAAATCTTTCACACGTAAATTTTGGAGCCTGGTAGTTAAATGAAATAATTGTTACTGGTAACAATACTGAGTGACTTAAAAAATGCAAAGTTTGACTGTCCACTTGAAATCTTAAAAATTATGACTATGAGTTATCATGTTGGTCAAATGACAAGCAAGGTGCACAATAAAGAGATGACAAATTGTTTATTTTAACATCTACTTATCTTAAGTAGAATCGGAAAAAAAAATTCTATTGCTTTGTTATCTATAAAATTTGGTGCAAGTAATTGGCTGGTAATTAATGAAAAAAAATTCTTTTTGTTGTGTTATAGAAAAAATATTTTTTTCGACAAAAGACTATAGTCAGAACTGTAAAAATAAACGCGAGTAAATTACATGAATAAATTCTACAGACAATTTTAAAGAAAAAAAAAGTTGAAACATAAATTGCTTAACAATTGAAGTTATTGAAGTAAATATTAAAAAATACTCTTAATTATTGTTTAATTCAATGTATATTAAATTAAAATAGCAGTTGCAATAAATAAATTTCTACTCATTCACTGTCAAAAGTGAAAAAAATTATTAATGAAAAAACTACAATTAAAATGAAAAATCAATATAAGAGGTATAACTTCTCAAAAGGTAAATACTAAGATTTTCACCGTCTATCTTTAAAAACCCTCACCTGGGTTTTATTAGATCTCTTACCCTATTTGGATAACTCAATTTGGATCCAAATTAAATACAGGGTGATTCAAAAGGTACGGACCATCCTTTAATTGGGTGGTGATAAGGGACATCCAACTGAGTAAAAAGTTATATCACGAGATATAGCTTTCGTAAGACGAGATTTTGAGTTAAGTTAAGCCTACATGATAGTGGGGAAATTGACAGTTCTGTTTGTTCTAAAAGAAAGCTAGAAAAAAAATCTGTATTTATTTTTGTGTTTAGCTTAAAGTCTTCTATCACCATTCGAGAGTTGGTCAGACACTTTTAAATCACTCTGTATGTGTTTTTTTTAAGTTTAAAATAGTTGCATCGAAAATTTGGTCAGGCTCATTATTATGAATCACTCTGTATATTTATATAAACCACTCTTTAAACATAAGTTTCAAAAAATTACCGATTATTATTAGTATTATCTAATTATCAGTGAAAGATGCTTTTGAACTTACTTTTGTTGCTACTGGAGTAAACTTTTTATTTATTCTATTTATTTCAAACACAAGAATCTACGGAAGAAACTAAGTCATTGTTTTGTAATAAATGGCTATTATCACAATAAAAAACTACTTAGAGTATTTGCAATTATAACTACAAATCAGCATCGTAATATTATACGCGAGCGAAATAATTCCTACTGATACTAAAGCGTACATACATACATATAAGTAAGTTAAATATAAATATATTACTTCGAACATAGTATTTAAATGTTTAATTTTCAAACCTCATTGATTCACTCGTAATTAAAGAAAGTAAATAAGTATGTACTTTTTAAGAATCTAAAAAACATTAGCAATAATAAAATTCAAGCAAATTTATTTTTAATTTATTTTCTAGTAAAAATAAAAAAAATATTTATTTGTCTTTTATCCTACATATTTACATGTAATACAGTTTATTGCTTATTTATGCATTCAAAATGGCTTGAATCTCATTTAAACTTTTCCCTTTTGTTTCAAACATGAAAAAATAAACAAATAGTTCAAAAAGCACACAAATCCCTCCAAACAACCAAAACGACCCAGCCATCCCAATTTCGTGTGACAAAGATCCAAAATATTTTGTAAGAAAAAATCCAATAAGCCAGTAAAAACTTGTAACTACAACTGACGCTTTTGATATGATATTCAGAGGCAAAAGCTCGCCCATGACGGCCCATGGAATCGAACCTAAACCAAAATTATAAAACGCTATAAAAACCACGAGTGATAAGATAGGCAACCAGCTAATACCAGAGACATCATCTCCGTTTTTTTGCAAATAAAAATAAACACCTAGAACAATTTCGCAAGTAATCGTTCCAGCGAGAGCGATTAGAAGTAACAATTTCTTGCCGACTTTGTCCAAGAAAGGGGGCGAAATTGTAGATACCACAAATTGGACAGCACCCACAATAATAGAACACACTTCTGGGGGAATAACACTTCCAGCTTCATGAAAAATGTTTTGTGTGAAATACAAGATGACGGTGACTCCGGAAAATTGCTGCGAGATGGTTAAGACCACACTGTACACAAAAGCTTTCACTGTTCCTCTTGTTTTAAAAATTCCATAAAACGAGGTTGGTTTTAACTGTTTAACGTGTTCTTTGATCCCTTCTAACTCTAACTGAACTTCATTGTGCGGTTTTTGTCTCAAATAACTAAGAGCTTTAAATGCTTCCTCTTCTTGGTTTATGCTGCACAAATAATATGGAGTTTCCGGTGCCAGAAACCAGAAAACGGGCATATATATAACACAAAAAGCTGCAAGAATTAAATTAAAAGCCATTATAGAAACATAGGGTCCCACACTGTACGAGAAAAGTAAGCCCAACATTATAGCACTTGTTGTGGTTGCTTGGAGGGTTCCCCGATTTTTCGCTTCGACACTTTCTACGACAAAAATCGGTAGAATGCAAAACATTCCTCCCACTCCGAAACCCATCAAAATACGGCTAACGTAGTAGAGAGAAACAGATTCGGCGAAAGCCGCTAACAAATAGGCTACCAAGTATGGAATTGAAATCACTGTCACTGTTATTTTTCGCCCTGTAGATTGTACCAAATAGCCGAAAATAAAAGGGCCAAAAATTCCACCCATTGCGGCCATTGACCCAATCCAGGACTCTTCTTCGTCGGTTATTTGTCGTCCTAGAGGAATTTTATTGATGTCTTTGCCCTCTAAAATAGCGATTACAGGTGATGACCAAGCTATCGACGTTCCGGTAATAAATGCGATAATGTCAGCTAAAATTTGTATTTTGATATTACATACAAATATAATTTGGGGGTTTTACCTGCAAAAATGACGAGGTAGGCATGGTTGATTCTTTGTAGGAAAGCCATTTTCGTGTTACTTCATTGCTTTGGCTTTGACTGCAAACCTTATCATAAACTATTCTTTAGTAAATGCTATAAATTTTATCACTTAATGTTACTGATAATTAATCAGTCTGATTTAGACAGTGGAAGCAATCAGTCATTCTTGAGTCATTTTTATCGTTTCATATAAAGCATTTCAATTAATTTTATTGAAATTTGAGGAAGATTTGGGAGTACAAAAGTCAACAGCTTAGTATATACCGGGTGCGGCATCCATTACGCCCAGAAACAAAATCCCCACTTCTATTCAAATAAAATTGTTGAATTTTTTTACACTTACCTGAGCATTAGTAAGGTACATTCTCTAATTTTTTGGTAATTTTTCATTTACAAACGCCTAAAAAAATAAAAAGTAATTTTCTCCCAAAAAGTTTAATTCTAATTTTTATACTGACCGCAGATTCACTTCCTACAATTGTTTACAAAATCAGAAGAAAAAAAAACAATTAGATTTTGAATTAAACGAAATTTCCATCTTAACTTTCAAAATCATTTTTATTTATGACCTTGCTACTTGTGCCATCGTAAATTTAGATGACAATGGATAACTGCAATTAGGGTAAGATTCCAAGGTTTACAACAAAAAGACCCTTTGAAGCGGTCGGCTACCAGTAAATTATTCTTTTGTTGGCAAATTATACCATTTTGTCACAAATCACGCGTCTGGTTTGTGTTTAAATAAAAAAAAGCGATTATTTGGCTAACCAAGTCAAAATTTGAAATTGTGATATCAAAGTTTGATACGCTAGCAGGTACAGATTCATTTAGTGTAAAAACTTTATAGGTAAATTAACAAAAAGTATTCATAAAACACACAAAACTGTTATGGACTCATTTATTATTAAAAAAAAATTAGAAAAATTCTCAAATTATACCCTATCAATAATTAGTTAGGTATACAGGGTGCGCCAGAACTCGCGCCCAAGAGAAAATTTTCAAGTAAGATAAGGAACATGAAAAAAATGTTTAAAAAATTCTATCTGTCAAAAAATTTTGACATTTATTTTTTAACATTTGACATTTTTAATATCTATTTAAGGATACTGATGATCTTGTATAGGTTTTTTTACAATTATTTAGTAAAGGGACAAAAATTTTGCCACTAAAAGCCACAAATGAATTGAACAGAGTTACAATTTAGGATACAGCTTCCTTGTTTCCTCTTTTAATAGCCTATAGCAAAAAAACTTGGAAAATTATTTTTCCAACAGAAATAAATAGAGTCAAAGTGCAAACTTTAAACTCTCATAACTTCGAAATTTTTATAGATAAATTTTTTTTAACATTTTTTCCATGTTCTTGGTATTTTACCTTATATGGCATTTTTCTCCGGGGCGCTAGTTCTGGCGCACCCTGTATGAAATATCGCCAGTTTTAATTAATTAGAAGTCGGGATTTATCAATGGGCGTAACCGATGCCGCACCAGGTATGGTATACTAAGAGTATGTAATTTTAAATATATTTATTCTCATATAAATAAAGCAATTTTTATACACATATGAAGTCCAAGTAAAAAAAAACGATGAGAGTTTATTTTTGCAGTGTTTGAGAAAGGTGTAATTTAATTTTTTTTGCGATACTGAATTGGTAACTAGCGTCAATGCTAGCGTTTACATAGTTACAAACGACTCCAGTAGATAAAATTTACCGGCCTAGTCCGGTAGTAGTCTGGTTTTTTGTTTTCATAAATTTTTGCTTACTTAAAAGTGATCGTTGCAGTATCTCAAAAAATCTTATACAATATACAACCGGTAGCACTTTTATGGCCTTGCCAAACATATTGGTCTCGCCTTACGGCTCCACCTGTAAAGTACTAGCGCGACCATAAAAATGTTGCTTTCGGTCTAATGCCGTAAATATCTAGCTATTGTGACTATTAGTATAATTGCTACCAAATAAAAATATTTTTCTTATAATGTTTCTCCTGTATTAACAATCAGACATTAAAATTAATAAAAGCCGACCCTCTTGATTCTTCTTTTGTTGCGGTTTCTTTCAAATCCGATTTTTTGTGAAATTGTTTTTTGAATGTGATATTTGAGGTGTATTTAGGTCAGAAGCCTTAATATACCGAATCTCTAATTCGACAAAAATTGGATTCTTATCGTTTTTCCTTTGGACCCTTCATATAAGTACAGTTGGGGACAAAATACTTTGGTCGTCAATGTGACTTGAGTGACATTAAATTGTAAAGGATGCTTTAGGACTGTTAACCTTATTTTTAGCTACTGTCAATCACAGTTGACAAGTTGGACATATTTTTGATAGGAAAATACAGTTGCTGTCATTAATTTGAAATTGTAACGTTAAAGCTTGAATTACATTAAAGTGTCAGAAAAGTGACGACCAAAGTATTTTGTCTCCAACTGTACAGGCTGAATTATGAAATGAATTATGCCTCAAGCCATACAGTAATGATGAGCCTGAAATTTTTTTTGAAGCAACCAACATTACATTTCATAGATAACGTGGATATTAAAATATTTCGTTTTAATAAGTTAAACATAGTAATCATATTTTTACTTTTGACAAATTTCTCAATCAAAATGACTCCAGTTTTAGTTTAAGTCCGTCTATTTGGATATCGCGCTGGATAGAAAGGTGCAGTCTGCAAAGCGTTTTTCAAACATGCTTCATAAATTAGAATCTTGTTGGTCTTTTTGGCAACATTTTAGTAATTCTCACTAAATTCTCCAAGGTTTGACATTTTATAAATTAAAGTTGAAGTGCTATTTGGTCACTACGTTTAATTTATTAAAACTAAATATTTTAATATCCACGTTGTCTTTGGATTGTAATGTTGGTTATTTCAAAAAAAATTTCAGGCTCATTATTACTCGTGGGACATCCTGTATAACTTCATTATTTTTAAAGATTATAACCGAGATTATGACAATACTTCTTGCGTAGAACAAAGTTGCAGCTTATTGTCATCTATTCTTTAGGATCGATGCCTAATCAATGCTGCTTTTTGTTTCACGGGAACTGACATCAATTTCAGTTTTTTTTAATGAACCATCCCGTATATTTTATTATTTTATTCTTCGACACTGTCAAAATTTACGGTTTTTCTCCCATGTAAGGAAGTTTTAAGGTTTTGACAACTGCTTGGCGTTTCTCAATACGAAACGTCAGATTATTTTTAACAGATTTTGAAGCAATTTTAAGCTTTGTTGAGTCTAATTTGAAGAATAAAATGTTGTATTCAACTCGTCTTCGTGTAAATCGGACGCTTTATTCCACCTCGTGAATGATAAACCACTCGTTAACACTCGTGGTTTAATAATCCACTCGGTGAAATAAAGCGTCCGATTTACACTCAAACTCATCGAATAAATAATTATTTTTCAGTTTTATTAAAAAATATTTTGTAAAGTAAATATAACACACATATAAGTTATGCGTTATAACTCACGTGTGTGTAATACGTTCAAAATCAGCACAGTTACATCTTTGTAATATGTTAATTACGGATCAAATCAATAATAAATAATTATTATATTAAAGGGTGGATGAAGGTAGGTCACTTAGCATGTCATTTTAATTTTCCCTAGGAACCACCAAAACGGTTTTGAGTGATTCTCAATAACTTTTTTCATTTGAGAGATATTGCCGATTGCAAGTTTTAAAATTGACACAGTGTATGTATATCACATTAGTAAAACAAACAAGTCTTTTAATTGTATGTCTGTAAGTTTCTACAGGCTTTAAAATTTTAATTATATTCTTCATTAGAATAACTTATTTTTCTACATCCATGTAAAACTTATTATTAGTTGATCTACAAGTACTTACCTTTTAATTAATTCGACTTGCAAAAATATATATGTGTGAAATAAGTGTATTTATCGGCAACTGTTTAAACTATAGTATTGAAAAGGAAGTTTTGACCTGACTTTTTAATTTATAACATGACCTTATTTGAAAACACCGATAGAACAATACTTATTTTTAAAAGGTAAATTTAACATTGTTTAAAAAATTTAAAAAATATGGATCGGTTTATAGAACCAACGAAATGCTCATATTCACGGGTTCATCGCGCATTAATTTTTAACAACGAATTAATTTTTAATATGCATCTATTGTTTATTTAAATAAATTATAAAATTATAGTTGTCAAGAAAAATTTGTTAAAAAAATACTTTGGCGTTTTATTGTGCAAAAAATAACATCCGGTTAGTGTTACACTTACCGGTTCCGGTACCGTGATAGCTCATTTACCAGATTCTTATGTTTGTACAGGCTCTGACACCGTAATAGCTCAAAATAAAGCCGGAAAGTTTAATTTACCAAACAGTATAAAATAAAAAACGAAAATTTGCCATAAGGTATTTTCTTAGGAAAATTCCTATTTCTCATAAAGTCGATTGTTTCTTCAAGCACTGATAAAAATTATCAGACTTTATATTAAACGATTTTTATAATAAATTTCTTGTCTCAATCTAGACAATTATAATTTAGTCTGATTGCTATCGATCGTAATCGATTGTACATTTTATTAATTATTATTGGCAAATCATCTTACAACTTAACTCTTAAATTAAAAATAACAAAAATTTTATAAAAATACATTTATTTAAGCTTATTGTTAAGTAAATATGTACAATAAATATTATTATTAACAACACAATTCCTAACAATGGAATCAATTTACGACTCTAGAATATCCTGAATTTCTTGCAAACTCTTTCCTTTCGTCTCAATAACAAAAAATAGAGTAAACAAGAAGGCAACAATACAAAATCCTCCAAACATCCAAAACGACGGTCCCATACCCATCGCATCAGCAACCGATTGGAAAAACTTTGTAATCAAAAACCCAATAAACCAACAACACATAGACGTCATCGCTGACGCAACTGATTTAACATTCGAAGGGAACAATTCACCCATCATGGCCCATGGGATAGGCCCAAATCCACAATTGTACGATATAATATAAACCATGAGGGACACAAAAGGTAGCCATGATATCGCATCAACATCATCTCCATTGTCCATCATGAAGAAATAAAGTCCTAGAGGAACTTGAGCTATCAACATTCCAAGGGCAGAAAAACATAAGAGAATTTTCCTGCCAAGTCTTTCTACCAAGATGGGTGTGACAAAACTGGTCAAAAATTGGACAACTCCGATGACAATGGAAGCCACTGCCGGTTCTAAATTACTTCCAGATGCTTGGAAAATCGTTTGGGCGTAAAACAAGACTACGTTGACACCAGATAATTGTTGGAAAGCAATTAAAAGGACCGAAATTGTGAGACCCTTGACCAGGCCTTTGGAACTGAAAAGGTCACTAATACTTCCTTCTTGACTCTTCTCAATTGAGGCTTTAATATCTTCAAGTTCGGCGTCATTTTTCGAGCCAGAAGATCGAATTTTTTCTAGTGATTTTGACGCAGCTTCGTGGTTGCCTTTTGAGATGTAATAATGAGGGCTTTCGGGTGCCAGGAAGAAAAACAAGACTAGGTAAATGCAGGGAATAACAGCTAGGATTATATTGAAGGCCATTACAGACACGTAGGGACCTACACAGTATGAGAAAAGTAGGCCTGAGGTTATGAAAACGTTCATCACAGAACCTAAAGTACCCCTGTTTTTGTCTTCTGCGATCTCTCCTGTGTACATGGGAAAGACTGTGAAAACACCTCCGACTGCTAGGCCCATTAAAAATCTTGCAAAGTAAAAAAGGCCAACAATTTTGGCGAAAGCCAAGGTTAGGTATGATATGATATAAGGGATGGCGAGAGCTAAGAGGGTGAATTTTCGTCCAAATTTATCAGCAGCATATCCAAAAAGGAAAGGGCCAAAAATGGCCCCTAGAGGTAAGAATGAACTAATCCATGAGTTTTCTCCTGAGTCTATCTGCCGCCCCACGGGGTTTATATCAACATCAGTTTCGTTTAATTTTGGAAGAATTGGACTTGACCATGAGATAGCAGTCCCGGTAATAAATGAAATTATATTACCTAAAACAATTTTGATCATGATTTGAAAATTTGAAAAATTTTGACTCACCAGAGAGAGCGGAGAAGTACACCTGGTCAAACATTGTGTCAAAATATTACTCTTGAGGACGTGTGGAACGAACTGAGAAATTTTCAGTCATCTCTCTTTTCTAAAAGTAATAGCACAATCGAAGATAAAAAAGATACTGAAATCACCACACTTAAAAGTTTTCCCTCGCACTTATAATGATAGATAAGAAAACTATTAAAATATGATCGGTATTGATTTTTGTTTAGAAGTTGGCACGTTTGTTATTGGATCCTCTGGTAATAATTTGAATGAACGCTCTTTTGATTGGAGCGATAATACTATGATTTTGGCTAGCTAAACACGTTTTGTGACATTGGAAAATTATTATCAACAATAACATAGTAGAGGTGAAGGACGGGGACGGGCATCAAAATTTGCACAAATTCACTTCTGTTACAAAACGAAATGTTAAAAATCGGTTTATTTTAGTTCTGATAACATTAACATTTATAATTTATTGGTATAGGCCCCAAAATCGCAAATTTTCCTAGTGGAAATTTTTGACTTCACTGTTATTTAATAATTATGATTATCGCATTAATAAATTACATAAATATTTTCGTCTTTAAATTTGGTGATATCAAAAAGTTTACAGTTTAAGTTACTTTATTTGCTAATGTGAGACGCCACTATCATGAACACATCGTGTGGCCATGATTTCTCAAAATTTTTGACAAAAATTTCCAGCCATTATCGAAAAATTAAAAACCATGTTACTCTATCTATGAAAATATTATTTCCAATCACATACGAACTTTGATGTAATGCAGGTGCTTAAACAAATAGACAACCTATTCTTTTAAAACAATAATTAGTGAATTTCACGTGAACATTTATCAAAAAGTACTTGTTAAAAAATTTAATCAATTTTACAAGTAGGTATGTTTCACTGGTATAAACTGGTTGCAAATTTTCAAAAACTTGCAATACTACGTAATATTTAGTAGATGTGCAAATTTTTAAATTTAGAGTTTGTCAAGGCTATCCAAGACATCAGTTTAGCAAATGTTTTGAGAAGAAAATACGTTAAAAAGTTTTTATATTTTTTTTTAATTAAGAACATTCATAGTGTTTGAAAACTCGCGTTTCAGAGAAAAATATCGAACAAGATAAGATACCAGAAACATGGAAAATATGTTAAAAAAATCTATCTATGAGAATTTCGAAATAATAGAAGTTGGAAAAATAATTATATATTTTTTTTTGCTGCAGATTATTATAAAAGAGGAAACAAAGGTGCTGTATTCTAAATTGTAACTATGTTTAACCTTATTTGGGGCTGGATAGCTTAGACGCCAAATTAAAAAAAAACCGTTATAATTTTTTTTATTTTAAAAAACAGTCATACATACTTCAGGTAGGTACGTATAAATATATATTTTTTTTTGATTTTTCGTCGTTTACAAAACATTAAAATACGCAAACTCAAAATCTCAAAAAAAAAATATTATTTTTTAGTACTCATCAATCACAACGTATTTTATAAGTACATAAAATACTCTTATCTTTCGTCAATTTTGACAATTTTTTTTCAACAATTTCTGAATTAAGTAAAATTTCTTATTCAATATTAGTGTTAAAAAAATGTTGAAGACAACACAAGTTTAAAAATCTCAGTTTATTAAATTTATACCTCAATTTTTAAACTTTATATAAAACTTGTTTTAATACCTTAATTGCTATAAATGTTAGACAAAGTTTTTAAAACAACAGTGTTTATGTTTTGGTAAAATGTAAAAAGAAATATATTACAAAAATATTCACTTCAGTACAAGCTGATTTAAAAGTGTCCAACCAACTCTAATGATTTAAAATATTTTTTTTGGCTAAGCATAAAAATGAATTCAGATTTTTTTTTCAAGCTTCTTTTTTAGAAAAAAACAGAACTGACAATTTCCATGTTATCATGTAGGCACTCTTTTATTTCCGATGTTGTCGGATTTAATTTATGGAAATTTTAACTCAGTTGGATGTATTTTATCACCACCCAAAAAATAGTCCGGCACTTTTAAATCACTCTGTATAAACTAATTACATATTTTACGACTGCCAAAATTCTGAAAATCTAAAATAAGCGCAAGTTAATCAGTTATTGCAGCTCTGCTTACGATGTAAAGGAATATTAAGTGTGTTTACATCCGTTCTCCGAAATCTCAAAATTTTTTCAAAATAATGGTAATTTTTGGAAACCTTTTTATTCGTTTTTATAACGTTACTCAATATAAGCTATAGCTTTAATACAGCGTTTGTCAGAACTCGTGCCCTAGAGAAAAATTTCAAGTAAGATAAGATACCAGAAACATGGAAAAAATGTTTAAAAAATTCTCTGTCAAAAAATTTTGGGATTTATTTTTTGACATTTGACATTTTCTTTGTCTATTTAATGATACCGATAATGTTTTTTTTATAATTACTGTTATTATTTAATTTTGCCAATGAAAACCACAAATAACATTAAACACAGAGTTACAATTTAGGATACAGCTTCCTCATGTCGTCTTCTAATAACCTCTCTAGCAAAAAAATTTGGAAAATTATTTTTCCAACAGAAATAAATAGAGTCAAAGTGCAAAATCTAACCTCTCATAACCTGGAAATCTTTATAGATTATTTAACATTTTTTTCTTGGTTTCTGGTGTCTTACCTTATATGTCATTTTTCTTTGGGGCGCGAGTTCTGTCGCATCCTGTATATCATCACATAAAAAAGCAGGTTGCTGGTACATACATAACGAATTCTAGAAAACTGAAAATACAATTTGTAGCAAATGTAGTAATTAATAGGTCTGTGTCCTATACCATACAAAAAATATGTATAGTGACTACATATAATAAAAAATAAAATTACAAATTAACAATAAACTTATGTACACATTTATTCACAAAAAAAGCGTACACGTATTGAGGACTATTGTAAATAGGATATATTAATTAATTGTTTCTAAGAAAACGTATTACATACTGTACTGACATTTTCACATTTTGTATGTCAAATGTGTGAAAATTGCTTTCAATTGCTATTTACAATTGAATTATACCACGACATACAATACCATTAACAAGAGTGTGATCATTACTAATAAATTGGAAGATGGGTGGTCTAGGTGTAAAAGAACTGAAGCACTATTTTAAAGAAGTCCCGACCTCAACTACATAGAAAACGTTTGAGGCCGTATGGCAAAAGAAGTGTCTAATAAACTGAATGTCAGGCTTCCTACTGCAAACGAACTATGGAAAATTGTGGAAAATAAATATATGGGAAAGGCACTTGTTCACTCAATGCTCCGTAGACTAACTGAAGTGAACGCAAAAACCGGCGCGATGACCAAATATTAGAATGGTTTGCTATCTTTAAAAAAATTGTTGTTGAGGATTGCTTTTTTTGTAAATTTGTGAATAAAAGTTTATGAATTGTGTTTGTAGTAATCGATAATGGTTGCCTGCTAATAAGGCAAACAATTTAAACACATTAAAATTTTTGAAAAATACAACGATATAATCCAGCTATCAGCAAGGTTTTAGTTCCAGGTTTCTAATTAACAACGATTAAAAGATAAGTTTACAATATGACAATCTAGCCAAAATTGGGCTCACTACTTGTACGCTTTTTTTTTGAATAGAAGTGTACATTTATTTTCGTGTAGATATTAAATTTTAAAATATTGATCTTATTTTGTTTGAATACTCAGTTCGGTTTATTCAAATAAATATATAAATAAAACACAATTATCCAAGTGTAAAATTTTTATTCATTATTTATGTAAATATTACTTTGTACATTTGTACGATTTGTAAATTTCAGTTCCATAATACTGCATAATAAAACAAAAAATGTTAAATAAATTACTTAAATGACCAGACTAAAAATACATTACAACGTAAATATATAAAACAAAAAGAAATATCACTAAAACTCAAGCATCACTCGACGAACTCTTCCCACTCAACATATCTTGAATCTCCTGCAAACTCTTCCCGGACGTATCGGGCAAATACTTATAAACAAAAATCGAAGCCCCCACACAACATGCAGCGAAAATCCCAAAAGACCCCGCTTTTCCAATCATATCAGAAACGAGCGAAAAATATTTCGTTAAAATAAAACCAAGAAACCAGCACCCAGCTGCTGTCACCGTCGAGGCAACCGATTTTATGTTCCCGGGGAAGAGTTCACCCATCACGGCCCATGGAAGGGGCCCAAAACCAAGACAATAAGTGATAATATAGATAACAAGACACGTGACTGGAAGCCAGGCTATTGAACTAACATCGTTACCCCCACTTTTGATGTGAAAGAACACAGCAAGGGCTCCTTGGGACACAGCCATGCCAATGGCAGAAAGGATAAGAAGGTATCTTTTACCCTTTTTTTCCACAATAATTGGGGTGGTTCCACTGGCAAAAACCTGCACAATTCCGATGATGATTGTGGAAATATCAGCAGGTATTGTGCTTCCAGCGTCGGTGAAAATGTCCTGAGCGTAAAAAAGGACAATATTAATTCCTGATAGTTGTTGCAAAGATACTAAACCGACTGAGATTGTCAAAGCTTTAGTCAAACCTTTTGATTTGAAAATATCAGCAAATGAGGCTTTGTTAGCTAGAGTCTCCTCAACGCTTGATTTAATCTCGTCCAACTCCTCCTGAACCGCATCTTGCGATTTTGACCTTAGTTTCATCAAGGCTTGCTCCGCTTGATCCTTGTTTTTCCGTATCAAAAAATAGGGACTTTCTGGAATAAACAGGTAGAAAATAACCAAAAATACGCAAGGTGAGACGATGCATACAATATTGAACGCCATAATAGACATGTAGGGCCCCAAGGAATACGAGAAGAGCAACCCAACGACTATGAAAAGTTGCATAAAAGAGCCAAGAGAGTCTCTAACTTCATCCTCTGCAATTTCTCCTATATACATTGGCAGGACTGTGAACACCACTCCAACGGCCAAACCGCACAAAAACCGCATCATGAAAAATAACAGTGGGTGTGTAGCATAAGCCGCGATGGCGAAAGCTATGATGAAAGGGATGATTCCGGCCAAGAGAGTGTTTTTTCGACCGATTTTGTCAGCAGTAAGCCCGGCGATAAAGGGGCCAAGAGTTGCTCCAACTGGCAGGAGAGAACCAATCCAAGACTCTTCACTCTTCGTGAGGGGGAATAAGAGAGGATTGCCAGCTTCGTGAGAGATTTTCATTTTGGGGATTTCGGGGGAAGTCCAACCGAAGCTGGTGCCGCAAACGAAACCGGCCAAGTTTGCTGCAAAAGAAAACGAGTTAGGCAACTAATCACACAATGTTCGTTGACAATTTTTAAAAAATGTGCACTGATTGTAGATAGAAAATTATTTTTGCGTTTTTGTTAAAATAGAACAAATAGTTTAGTTGTTTGATAACATTGATAATGGCATTGACAATGACAAACACGTAAATGCATCAAGGTGAGGAATCTTGACCTCGTGGCGTGGGACTCAATTTTTGGTGAAGTCACCTGGGCTACTAATTATTTAAAAAATAGTAGTATTTATTATTAAACTAAAATGCTTCTTGTATCTATTGTTTAATTGAGACTTTTACATAATTTGCAATCCTTTAAAAAAATTGAATTCTAAATTTAAATGTACTGAAAAGTAACTTTAAAAAAACCAAAACTCAAAACCGATTAAATAAGAGTATTTGCTTTGTTATATATCTAACATTTAATTTTTTATATACTTTTTTTATTGTTGTCTCTTTATTTTGATCATTCTACGTCTCCAAATTGGGCAGAAACAATAGAAGATTATTCAATTTAAAAGCGATTTGCTGATAAAAATCCACAAACCACTAATGCCGTAGTAATGGTTCAAACGTCACCGGCAGAAAAGTTACATTGTAATTGCGAGTACCTACTTACAGATTAATTTTTTTATCGTAATTATTATTACACAATTTGATAAAAATTACTTATTATATTAACATTTTTTAATCGTTGACAGATATTGAATTATTACAGCATACATTTTTAATAAAATTGAAGATTATTTAAACAAAAAAAAATGTTATTGTGACAATATAATAATGGTTTTGTTGAATTCAGAAATTCTACATTTATTTTAGTTTCTGCAATAACTCCTTATAACTTTATGCATTTTTTATTTTTACATAAGTATTTGTATTATGTTTTGTTTAAAATTACAATTTACTGCCATTTGTTTTGTTGGCTATAAAATTTAATTAAAGTTGGTTTGCAAATAACAAATAAAATAAAACCACAAAGAAAAATTAGGGAAAAAATTGTTATGAATATTTAAGCATATTAAGTATGACAAATATTTTTGACTCATTAATTTTTTACATTAAGCATTTTACATGTATTGCTCTATTTTAAGAAATAGGATTAGAAAATTTATTGCATTTTTGTAAAAAAAAGCGCTAAAAATTTTACGAATTAATGTAAGTTTGGTAAGTATGTGTTATTAGTTCTTCTGAGGCTCAAAATAACTAATAATTGTGACATGTTTTTTTTGTTTTTAAATAAAATTATCGTGAATGAACAAAGCAAAATTTTATGTGGAATAATAATTTAATTCATGTGGCAATAAATCCTTTTTACTGTTTGTTTTATGACCACTTACTGATTAATTTCCGACATAATTATTGTAATAATCAACCAACATTGTTGTCAAAAAAATTAGGTAGGTACATGAATTCGCTTTAAATGACTGTGTTAAAAAAGATACATACCGACACATGCTGCAATGTACAAAAATTTTCGATTCGTCGGTTGGGCACTCTCACTAGACATTTTGTTTGACTGAATGGTAACTTCTCCATTTGTAACATTGAATGTTGTTTCCGATTCTTCCGTCCCCGCCACTGGTGTGTATTCATATTCTTCCTTTGTGGTCATTTTGAACGCTGGGAATTAACAAGGATTTTCCTTTTGAGTCAAGCTACTTCGAGGATTACTTGATTTGATGTGATTTGAAAATTATAGATAAATTGCTAATAAATGAAAGATATATCTAATCACTTGTAGCCAGCCACTCAAGATATTGTTTCTTTCACTTCTTCTTTATAGATTTTTTTTGGTAGAGATTGTTTTTAGATACAAAAGTGTCGTTTTTACCCAACTTATCGTGTTTTATAATACAGAAACTGTATTTTGATATTTCAGATTATCCTCCCCACAATACGTCCAGAATTATTGTGTGTACTTTTTTTTTCTAATAATAATATAATGATTGTTTGAGGAATTTATTACAATATCGTTGTCAAAATTTATTTTGATTTTCATTTTGTTATGCAATAAATTAACATCGGTTGTGCATCCATTAGATTCGCTATACGTTTTGTCGCTTTTAAAATAATTTGATATAATGTTTATCATTTCCGGTCGATTAAAATAATTAAGTCTACCAAAATTGTCCCAACACGGAAATGTACCATAAAGCAATTAATTAATTATTTTAATTTGAATACAACCTCTACTAATTTAAGGATTATGCAAGTGTAGTGGGTATCCATGAGTTACTTAAGAAAAGAGGGAAAACTTGAATCAAACCCACGTTTGTGATTGTGATTTATTAGACTTTACCTAAATATCGAAAGCTAGACACTGAAAATTGGTAAATTCCGTCAACTCAAAGAAAAAAAGATATTTAACAAAAATATTTTTTTATAATCATTTAGGCGAACAAGTTGGTTTTATTTAATCATTTTTTGCTAACAAACATTCTAGTGGAGTAGGTATAGTACTGCCAAGTAGTAATATTATACTTTTATTAAACATGTAAACTACATGAAATAGTAGTTGTAAGACGTCTAGGTCTACTATCTGTCAAAAAACATAATGTATTATCGCTTTGCATAATGTTTGTAATGTTTATATCGATTAGAGAGTAGAAAATAGTATATTATAATACTTGTTTATAAGCAAGCCTTTAAAACACGCACGACGGGTTTAAGTGCACGACGCGTCAGCGTAAGTGTTTTAAAGGCGCTTATAAACGAGTGTTATACGCTATTTTTTATTATACCTGCCCATTTACGATCTTTTATGAGCACTGAAAAAATGTGAATTTACACAATAAAATTATCAAAGGTGGTTTGTGAATCGTTTTTGTAGAGACGGTTACTAGTTTACGTTGTTAAGCACATTTTTTCACGTTGTAATTGATCCAGACATTTCACTATTTCTTGTTACCTAAACAACTTTAAAATTCAGCGTGCTATAAAGGCCAAATTACGCACGCTGCAGCGTGTTTTAATTTAGGATTATGATACAGGTATAATAAAAAAAATATTATTTCAGTTAAAAAAATTAAAGCCCACTATTTTCTATATTCAGTTTCAACCTAAATTTTTTCAGACTTTTACCAGTATAAAACTTGTATTTCAATTTGACACAATATTAAATAAAAATTTCTGTAAAAGTACAGATTGTAGACAGAAGTTAATTAGTGGGTATCCAAGCATTGTACATGTTTATGTGTACATATTTTTTTAAGAAAATGTTTTCTAATAATAATTTGTCGTCATCTATTTGTTCTGTTATCTTAATTTTTATTTATTCATAACCTACTTATGTCTTCATAGGCGGTAAAGTATAAGTTACAGAAATAATTAAAATCGAATAAAAATATGAAATGGCAATTACTTAGTTTATTTCTATAGATTTCTCTGAATACACAGTTACCCAACAGTACCTAGAATTTGACGTGAAATATGTACTAATACACATTTCCTAAGGATTTGAAATTCAAAAGACATTGTTTCTAATAAGTACCTAATAACTCTTGAAACATGTTATTTAATATCTAGGTAAGAAGATAACCGTTTAACCTGATTTATCTTTAATTGGATCATTTCTACTTATATTGACATTATGACGCTATAAAAATTGAAGATTATTTGTTGCTAATAGGATATCAATTTTTTTTAAATTATAAAGAAAAGTACAATACGTCTAGGTATTCTGTACGGCAACCTCGTGGACGATGACGATTGTCGGATGATTTGAAGTTATCACTAATAGAGTTCGTTGTCTGAATATAAATAAATTAATTAGAGATAGATTCAATGTAATACTATATTTGCAAAGCAACAAATTGTGTCATTGTCAATGACTCAAGGATCTATGTAATATTGGATATATTTTTTTAGGTATACTATTTTGGTAAAGTAGGTAACATTAAAAAATGCAAAAATAGTTTTTTATTTTTAAAATTCAGAATATAAAATACAGTAAAACCTCTTTTAACGGACACCTCTTGATAACGGGCATTTTTGTAGGAACGTAAGGAAGGTAATGTAAAAAATTCTCTCTTCAATGGACCCTCTGATTAGCGGACGCGGACAATGAAATTTTCCCTAATTGCCTTAATATCATATAAATTTACCTCCTACAACAGACAAACCGACAGAGCGGTTTACTCTAAAACAGGTAATATAAAATTCAATGATTAAATTAATGAGTTGCAGAATACACAATAAAAGAAAAACTTAAGTTTTATATTTTGTATAAAATAGAAGACTTACTTAAAAAAGTCTTAAAATTTAAATCATTATAATAGTCAATATTAGAATATAAAAAATAAAAAAGAACAATTCGCATAAAAACAGCTGTTCTTTTTTAACATTTTTATAAAAGTCGACGTAAAAACAATAAATATTGATAAAACAAATACTAAATTACAAAAACTAAATTCTTTAAAATTTTAGCTTATCCCCACCATTTAATATTTATGTAGAAATACAGTTGCGGAATTTAAATTTCGGGCATTATTGTCATTTTCATAATGTAAACTCTAAAACAACCTTTCTCTTGTCATGTTTATGTCATTTTAACTTAAAAAATAGCGCCACTGACAGAAAAGTTTAATTGTCAAATCTCAGTTATGATGACCGTAAAGGGTAGTTTACACTTACAGGTAACTTTTTGAAGTGACAGAAAAATACTGCCCGAAATTTTAATTCCGTAACTGTACATGTAGGTACAACTGGTTACATGGGCGCCCACAGAGGAGGGCCAGCAGGGGCCGTTGCCCCCCCCTGAGAAGATAGTGCTTGCTATATTTGATATAAAAAAAGATTTTTTTGATTTTTTACAAACACGTTAGAACTTAAATCTTCATGAACGAAATAAGAAACTAATATTTACATTTTTATCGCGAACTGAGTGATATGAAAATGGACAAATGAAACTCTTATTATTAATTTCGACTCTTTTTTTTTGCCCCCCCTGGCCATAATTTCTGCGGGCGCCCATGCCTGCTTAGTTCGTAATCAACATTTTGGTATTCTTAATCCTATGTACCTATATCCATCATTATATTAGGATTGTTAATTTAACCTTCATTCACTATTATAAGCTCACTGAGGTTTTAGAATTTTGAAAAATTTTAATTACTTATACCGCAATTGCAGCGAAATACTTTTAACCACAAATTTTAATGCAAAAAAGTATTTTATTATTCTATAAGTAATAAATTATGATGCATGTTTTGCATAGAGTTTTTTCTGTTACTTTGATTTGAGTAAAAAACATCGAATTTAAGTTTAAACTTTAATTTCAAGTAAATTTCAACGTAACACATTTTAAACATGTAACAGTGTGACTTACGCTCCCTTTGATTAAAGTTTTTATTGGTAGGTAACCACGTAAAAGCGGGACATTAATCAAGTTATATTTTAAGAACTATAATTTCATAATAGTTTTGTTTTAGTTATTTTGTTATTTTAAATAAATGGCTTTTTAATTTTTTTAAATAATTTAGCACACCTTTCATTAAGGGACACCTCTTCACAACGAACAATTAAAGATTTCCCATTGGTGTCCGTTGTTGAGAGGTTTTACGGTAATAATGTTACCGATTTAATCTTTTCAAACAGCAAGAGACATCTTTTGAGTAAAACACTAAAAAACAAGACAAACTATCCAAAGATAAGTGTACAATGATTTTAAACATACTTTTAGTGACAGAGCTACAGAAATAAATGAATTTCATGAAGTGTAGTGCTTTTCTGCTTTCCTCAGTTTTTTTTTTTGTTCATCATATTTTAAATGCCATAATAAAGAAGTAAAAAATTAATATTTACTGTACGAATATAATTTTTTTTTTTATTCATAATTTGTAACTTTTATATTTTTTATTGTTTTTTTTTACATCTCTCGAAATGAATAAAGTTTCAGTGTACGAAAACTCATTTTGTGTTTCACAACTTTAAATCATGACTTACAATAAATCATTTTTTTGCTCAAATACAAGGCGGTTTCTTATCACCACGCGTAAATAGGAATACCCGTGATAAGGATAACAAAGTATACTGTTTAGATATAGAACTACAGCATAGGTGCATTGTAATTTCAAGTAGCTCTTCATGAAATATAGAAACAGAAATTAAAAACAAAAGTGAAATGTGGCTGTGGCTGCCTATTTTTGTAGTGTTATTTCTGCATATACAATGTGAGCCAACAGAACTTAGCCACACTACACTCGATGAGTCACATGATGACCTTGAAACGAATACTACAGAAAAGATTTTTAGTGGTGACTCTGAAGAGATTGTAAATAAACCAACAAATCCAGGAAAAGTTACAATCATAGATGAAATTTATTTTATAGAAGAAAATAAAACTAAGATACAGAATGAAACGACAGCAGATGGTCACAACATTTCTAATAAAGATAACCTTAAAGACGGTGCTGTTGATGACAAGATGAAGAAAGTTCACGAAAATGATGACAAACTAAAGAGTGATAATAAAAATGTAGAAGATAAAAGTTTGACAATATTGGAAAACAAAACAATTTTTGTTAATACAACAACTTCATTAACTTCATCTTCATCATCATTTTCAACTTCATCTTCAACTTCCTCATTTTCAACCTCAACTTCAACAACAGAGTCTTCTGTTTCTATTACCACTTCTGAAACAACTTCATTTGAGGAAGAAAATAATAATTATGATCTAATATTTAAAGGATTTAATTGGAATTATTTGTTTTATTTATTTTTACTTGTTCCTGCTACAGGAATTCCTATTGGATTGTATTATTATTGTAAAAAAAGAAAGAAAAAAAATCATAATAATGGTAAGCTAGGTACTGTAAAATTTCTGGAACATATAATTATTTTGGAATTTTAGAAAAGAGAAGCCTCGGTAAGAACAGAAGATTTTCGACACCGTCTTGGGTTTTTAGTGAGCCTGATTTTATTGACGAAGAAGTTATAACCCTAGAAGAAGAGAAAAATAAATAATATGTAAATAAATAAATGTGAATCTTTTTTCTTAGTTTTTTAATAAATATTTTTTTTTTAATTTGCTATAATTATGAGTACATCTTTCCTTTTTAATTACATTCATCAGGGTTAATTAAATAACGGTAATAAATAAATAATAACTGAAATCGCTGAATTATTGATAAAATTGTATTTAGATATTAAAATCTGAAATGACCAACTTCAATAAATTAAAATTATGTCATTAATGAAAATAATTATAATAAGTCTTTTACCAGTGAAAATAAAAAAAAAAATAAGAATAGGTAGAGGTATTGACATGAAAAGCCAAAAACAATTTTTAAACTCTAATGTGATAATAATTAACATATTGATTTATTGTTTTGTATTAATTTTATTTTTTTTTCTGTATGAGTCTTACCTCTACTCTCTTTATTCTCTGCAAACATTTCTTAAAAGTTTATGCAAGCCAAATTAATATTTAATTTGGTCATTATAAACGATTTTTAATAAAAATAATAACGACAATTAACAAATTAACAAAATAATTAACAAATTAAGAAAACTTTTTTTATTTGAAACACACTTTGTTTTCGCTTCAAATGGTAATCTCAAACGCGACACACTTAGGTCTGCTTGTTCTTAAATCGGAACAAATTAAAACATAAACGTAAAACAGAACAATAGAATAAAAATATAAACATATTGTTAAATCAGAACGGTTAATGCAAGAAAATTATTTATTTAAAAAAATAAAATTAAAATTTTATACATTTTTCCATAAAACAAAAACAACTTAACTTCAATAAAAAAATACAGTGGCTGTTATGTTTTTATACAAAAAATAAAAATAGTATTACAGTTGGAGACATAATACTTTGGTCGTCAATGTCACTTGAGTGACATTAAATTGTAAAGCATGCTTTAGGACTGTTAACCTTATTTTTAGCTACTGTCAATCATAGTTGACAAGTTGTACATATTAATAGCTGTAGATATAATAGCTGTCATTAATTGGAAATTGTCATTCATTAAGCTTGAATTACATTAAAGTGTCAGAAAAGTGACGACCAAAGTATTTTGTCTCCAACTGTACTACTATTTAGATTCGGTGTTGAAAAATTTCAAAATATTTAGTTCATTTGTTCTCTCCAAGTAGGTTTTTTGTACCGCCGTCAGTTGTCAAACTCGATGAATTCCTAACGTTCCTAACCTTACATTACAGAGAAAAAAATGAATTTACAAAAATTAATACTTTTTAGAGGTAATTATCAATACTGTCAATTTGGTTTTTTAATTGATAGCAAATTTTAGCGCCCAGTGTCCACATTTTACAATCATGCGGTATGAAACACTTTCCACCGCCCCCAAATTACGACCGTAAGTTGTAACCTCAATCAAAAAATATGTTTGTGAAAAATATAAATCATAGATATTCAAATACCCGAGCGGCCAAAACTACGGTTTATGGACAAAGTCCCTTTTATTCCCCCCGGAACGAAAGCCCCCAAAATGCAGAAAAAACTGCGCCTCATGAGGGGCCCCGAAACCGTACACAACTTTCTAATCCATCAACAATACGGAATTGTGGTAAGTTAAGCATCAAATTCAGCCGTCGCATTTTCAGCAAGCTTTTTTAAGGCTTTGGGGGGTGGTAGACTAAAATGGCCCCATTTTGAAATGATGCGCCTTGCCATAGGCCGCAAAATAGATCCTGATAGAATGTTCGCAATCTGGCGAGTTGATGCCCCTTGGCAGCCTGTCACAAAAAAAGGCCAAGGGCAGAGGATGGGCGGCGGCAAAGGGGCTATTGATCATTATGTAACACCTATAAAAGCTGGTATTTTAGTTCTCTGTTTGATTGTGCCTTTTCTGATTGTTCATTTTAGGACGAGTCATTCTAGAAGTGGGTGGAAAATGCGAATTTGAGGAAGTAAAGGGCTTTCTGCATGACATTGCAATGAAAATGCCGTTTCAGGCAATGGCTGTGTCTCATGAAATGTTGAAGGAAAGAAAAGAAAAGGAAAAGTGGGAGGAGGAAAACAATCAGAATTATTACACCATGAAATATTGCATGCAGAATAATATGGGCGGGTGTCACAAATGGATGTCGCCGTTTGACTATAAATTCTTAGGAAAATATTTGTAATGATTTTTAAGTGAAATGAAACAGTTGAAACACAATTACAAATACTTTATTTTACTGATTTGTATGGTAACTTACATATTGTACTTGTACATATATCAGTTGTCTCAATTTACACCAAGTTATTAATACAGATGACATACAGTTCTGCTTAACAACTAAACGAAATCAACAGTGTGTGAGAAACTAAATTGGAAGTTCGGGTAAACAATTTCTGATATGTTAATCACTCATTAAATCGATTGTGGCTTTGGTATGGTTAAATAAAACTAAAATCAGTTTTATACAAAATTCTATATACCTAAAACAAGCTCTAGCGCAGGAGGGAATGTTATGTATAAAATGCACTAAATTTGAATACAGTTTCGTAACTACAATGTTAATTAACATTCAGGTTTTTATTTAGAAAGCACAATATTCTCAAAGGAAGTTCTAACATTTTATGTCCATTAACAATAATAACTTTTTTATATTAATATATACATTCATAAGCAAAAAGAATATATACCCTCGGTAGAATGAACACAAAGAAGAAACCTTATAATACTGTGTAGTGTCATGGAAGATGATCTCAAAATAATGTGAGCACCCGTACGAAAACTGGAAACATGTACTAGATTATCTTAGAAGTTTTTTCATAGTGCTAGAGGACTATAAGTCTGAAAGCATTCTTCCTAAACATTGAAATTTTGCGTTTAGTAGAGGTGGACTAGAACCGATAAATCGTCTAAAGCTTACTTATACTCTTCAAAGCAGTCTATTTATTTACACTAAAACGAGTATCCATGCATTAAAAAAACATACTACACTTTGAAAAATATAATACTATCAACATAAAATCCCTTCTTGGGTAATATACAATCTACTATATACACAATTATACAAAACTGTACACAATTCGAATTCGTGAAATAATAAAAATGAAAACAGCGTCTCGCTTCAATAAAAATAAATCAAATGTGTTTTTGAACACAAAGTAACATCAGGAACCATATTTGTGCTTATACATTAAGTATGGCAATTGTTTCGTACAAAATACTTTAAATAAAGCTAAACAGTTTTGACTAGATTATTACATACATTTCAGATCACTGCAAACCTCCTCCAAACATTTCATAGTCGTTTCGATGTTGCACCCATTTAGAAACTCGGAAAACAATATTGTGTTTAGTAGTCTAAAGTCCTACACATGAATCGATATAATACTATATAAGGTAAGTAGATAAAGACAAACTGTTGTGGCCTAAAATTGAGAAAACCAATTACTACCAATTCCAGCTGAGTAAATGAGTGATTTAGGCCACAACCATTGTTTAACTAAATAACAAGCTATATATTCAGTCTTGCAGATTGCATGTATTAGTACGGGTATACATATTGATACGATTAGAAGAAGGCGAAGGCTTTCTATTCTTAATTGACCCTAATCGAGGTGTATATTAAGCGTACGACTCACTCAGATGGTCAAAGAAATAATCGAAACTTTGGTTAATATTCATCACGTGGTTCGGGCTGATGTTGCCGTTGAGTGCGCTAGCTCGGTATTGTTCACTGAACGACAATAAAATGTCTCGGATTTTTGCAATGATCTCTTCTACTCAGGCGTTTGATTCCTGGAACAATCGGTAATAGAGAAACAATCACGCTTCATGCCGACTTACATCACACTTTTGCTTAACATACCTTCAAATTATCAAAATAGTGCATGATTTGATCATAATCCATATCCAGTTGGAGGTCGTCTAGACCAGGCAGGTCGCCGGAAGGGGTCGGATCCGAGTTACTAAACATGGGGTTGCCCACAATAGTAGCACGTTTCACCTCCGCACTACTCCTCCCTGTAACCCCAACTCAACAATTTTTCTTCAAACACAACCAAACTCACCATTTCCGTTCGAATTGGGCGATTTTGGGTATTGCACGAATTGGACTTCCTCCTCATCGGTTTTCGGAGGCTTACTCCTCAGCTTCACTTCTTCCTTTTTCTCTTCTTCTTCTTTTGGAGGTTCGTCATCAAACTCAAACACGCTTCTCATGGGTTCCTGACTCGCCGTCATTACTAAATCTTCATCTTCCTCCTCTTGGTCCTTGGACCAGCCATTCACAGTCCATCCGTAGTCATGGTGATGCATATCTTGATGTTTGCTGTTTCTGTGATGATGGTGGTGGTGATGTTTGCGAGGAGGAGTGGCTTCGGAAGTTACTCCAATGTTGCGATGGGGAGGCACGGGGGGCCTGTAATCCTCCACCGGTTGCTGGGGCTTCGGCTGGAGAGGCACTCCGTGCGGGGGGAGTGGGGGAGGCGGTGTTGGCTTGTTCCTGGAACATTTACAACATAAAATTTAATTTAATTTAATTTCTCGTTTATAAAATAAAGTAACAATTACCACACTTGTAGGTCGTCATTTTTGCTAGCCCCACTCTTGCTCTTGCAATAAGTATTGCTATCGATTGGCCTATTCGAATTAATATCAGCCTGTGAAGAGCTCGGCAGCTCAATATGACTAGGATTACTAAAGCTCGTCGCTAGACAATCATCCGGATCGCAATAATTCAAATTGAGCGGATTCGCTGTTATTCTCATTTCGTTTCCGTTTGTATTCGCAACTGAGGAATTTCTATTCGAACTGTCTAAAGTGGCACGACCCAACCAGACCCAATCGTGGGCGTTTGTCGTGGTCTCTCTAGGTTTGCGATGAACAACTAGGCTTCCGGGAGCCACCGGAGCGGCCCGCTCGCCCGGAGCAATCCCGCCTTCTTCCGCTTTAAACTTTGATGCGTAGACTACGCAAGATACGACGAAAACCACAATAGCACAACAGAACGTCCCCAGAAGGATGTACATGCTGATCTCGAGGGGTGTCATGTGTTGGGGGGAATGCTGGCGAAACACCCCTTTGCCACCTTGGTATTGGCGGGCTTGCACGTTGGGCTCCTGCGAGTTGTCGTCTTTCAAAGGAGTGCCTGTGGAGAAATACCAAACAACGTTTTTATTATGTTAATTTATTTTAATTAATTGGGAAGATATATTATGTAAAAATAAATTTCCTAAAGGTTGAATTAAAATATCTCTCGTTAGAAAAATTAATTGTTTGCGTGCTTACCGGCAGTTAAGTAAGACTAATGTAACATTCATGCTGTTTAATGATAAAGAAATACTGTAATAAATTATGCCCCTCTTAATTTTTATTCTAATTGAATTGCTCTATTTACGCTGATTCGTACAAAATTGATATTTTAATAAAAGTTACAACTTTTAAAAATTGACGGAGTAATTACAGAATCTATAAATAATGGTTACCCAAAAGCAAACCGTGTTTGTTACCAATGTTCAACTTTTGTTATTTTCAAACATTTCACTATAAAATTATGTAAATGCTTGATGCCCAGTTAATTTAAATGCTGTTTATAACCTCGACCTGAAATAATATTTTCCTGGGTCATTTTAGGGGAGAATTATGCCATTATTCCCAAGGGAGGAAGGGATATTATTTCAGGATAAAACGCTTAAAATTTTATAACAGTTAATGAAAAAATTAAAAATTGCATTTAGTTGAGTGCGGTACGTTTTCTTTTTTTCGACAAGAGCTGCAATGCGCGATGAAATAAACAATTTTTACCACAAAAAATCTCATTAACTGTTATTGACGTCCTGCGTTTTTTGTCATAAAATTTCTTATAACAAAAGATTCGTACGTTTTGTTACTATCCGCTTTATGAAATTCAGTAAAATGTTTATGATGAAAACGTGCTTTCTTAGACCTATAAAAAAGCAGTTACGTAGTTAGAATATATTAAATATTTTATATTTTGTTAAAATAATCTTCAAAACTTCTAAACGTCTTTATTGCAGTAATTTCATCATAAAAATAAGTACAATAAGTATATTAAAAATATGTGAAACTCAAAAAAAAAAACAGATCATTCTGAATTCCTGAGCTACACTTATATTTCTTCTATACGAAAAGCAAACTGTTGGTAAAGTAAATTTTTGAGAATCACTCGTAACCACTATCATGACGTCATCAGTCTTGGCCAAATTATGACAAAGAATCAGAAAGCATTGCAGACATGCACTTTAGCTCATACTCATCTGAACAGCTTTCAACATATTCATTTTTTCTGCAATTTGAATGACTTACCTTTTAAAATATCCTGGAGGTCTTGAAACTCCCTCTTGGAGCCCCCATAAGACCCCCCGTCATTCTGCAAAATATCCGGCCTATGTTGTAAGTCACTTGAACTAAAATCAACAGTGACTGAAGCAGAGGCAGTGGCCAGAGGCCCAGCACCTTTCATTTTTGGTCTAGTACTAGTTCTACATTCTTCAGCTAACAACAGAGTGACTTGTAGCAGATCTCCGTTGCCTTCACCCACAGCAATGACGCGAGGATGATGGGACGCGACCATAGGGGCAAAAGCGACCACTTCTGGGTCTAAACTCTCAACCACGAGGTGGTAATCCGAGTCTGCAATATCTCTAAGTGGTGTTCTAGTACCATCAGAAAATTCCAACTCTATGTCAAGGAGACCCTCCTAAATCAAGAATAATCACAATTGAGTCACTGAAACTTACAATAAATTACCTGGTATTGGGCTGTTAGTTTTCTTGTAACACTAGTCTCGGCGATGTAACCGTTTTCGATCGAGCTATCGGGTGAGATATTTAGTTGTAATCCTGAAACAACTTGGACCAAAAGTCGCGATAATCCCACTTTATCATTCCCAACTCTTATTTCTTTGGCTCCAATGACACGTCCTGTGATAGGACTAAGAACTTGCACTTCAGTTCGGCCCATGCTTCGTCCTTGAAGTATCCTTCCATGTAAACTTGCGATTCTGGGATCACTCACTCTCAATAAGGGCAAGACCAAATCCGTGACCCTCAACCACGTCCTCCTATTGATCAAATAACTGATCCTTCCGGAATCATGGTCTACGGCCATGAAGTGGGCATAAACGTCCACTGGACTTTGCTGATACCTCAATCGACAAATCGGCTTTTCTACCACATTCCCTAAGTCATCAGGGGGATTAGAACCTCCCCAATTACTGCTATAGGAACGCTTCTTCCGACGGGATTTAACACCGCTGTAAAAATTTAATGAAGTAGGAAGTTACATAACTATTCATCGAATTACCTGGGGTGGTAATCCGGAACTCGCCACGACTTAAGTTGAGATAGCCTTGTATCGGTCACTTGGAGGTCCAAGGGGAATTCAGGCATCCAGACAGTGAAGCGGGCGAGGCCAATGTAAGTGCCGTACTTTACAAGAACTGAACCGTTAACGGAACCGCGAGCCTCACTTCCGTCGACGTAAACAGAGCTGCACGATGAAGAAACCTGTTGAGAAAAAATAAACCAATTTTCATGATTGTCTCGACGACTAGTGGAGCAGTAAATATAAATTGACTTCTTATTGGAACGACTTGCAAAGCTTGAGAACTCGCATTTTTAAGTGTTGCACATGTTTCGAGTTTTTAAACATGAAGGAATGTGTTAATCATGCTAATTAACATATTTTACTACATGCAATTCACATTTTTTCTTTTACAATATTATAAAGTATTTAAGACTTCATCAAGCATCCCAGGAATCTTCATATCCAGATGATTTTGCTAGTTACACAGCATTTCACCCGTAATTTTTTCATAATTTTCTTCTCCACTTCCCTCTAAAGCTAAAATTATATCCTTCCAAAAAATTATGGCTTGATATTATTGAAGAATTAAGACAATATTTGTACAAAATACCGACACTCCTACACTTGCAATAGCCTACAGAAAAAATTTGCACACCTTCTCTGAGACCTGTAATTTTTTTAAAATCTTTGTTTTGCCTTTAAAATACTGATTATAGTGCAATTGAATGTAAAAAACAATAAATTATTGTTTTTTTTAAGTCAGTACGTGTATACGAATAGAATGTATACATATTCCTAAGTAATAAATTTGGTGTATAAACAATTAGCAAAACAATTAAGTGAATAACACCCTTTAATCTCTAATTAATTATTATACACCTTAATAAAACAATGGGTATCTATCACATGCATTTCATTCACTTCTTGTCTTGTTTGTCTTCTAATTATGAAATATAGGTACTGGTGTTGTTATTTTTATGTTTATCCATTAAGTAATTAATAATTAGTGACATAATTATTGACGCAATCCATTTTCATTTGAATTAAATTTAATAAGCTCTTCCAAAATATTACTTGAACTTGAATGCGCACAGTTGTCCCACTGACCTGCATTTAGCTGATAAGAAGTCAAGAGTTTATTTTTTCTAAGCATGCATATCACTAAATAAACAAGAACAATATTTACGAAACAAATTCGTTTAATTTCACACGAAAATATTTTTCAGAACGAATTATTATTGTATTCAGGTATTTTGAAATGAGATAAATTCAAAGCAAAAAAATTAATATTTGAAGAAGCTTCAAAACAGTTTGTTTAAAAATTAACGGCTGCCAAAGATTTTTAATAAATTTTCCGAAAGATACTTTAATCTGCAAGCACAGAAGATTAAATAATCATTGTTTTTGTGCAGCAGGGTTATATCAAGAATGCAGAGTGATTCAGCTAAGACGGCTCTTATGTCGTCTACGCCGCCCAAGTCACTCTGTAGATCCCAGCTCACTTAAAAATCTTGATAAATTCGGTATAAAGTATTTAAATTTCCGTGTGAACCACCTGTAAAAGAGCCAGAGTGCACATACCTTTAACACACTGTCGTCTTCCGAATGACACGACGCTTGGAACGTGACGTCGGCAGCTTTTCCCGCTTGAGACACAATAAAAACTTTCATTGCTTGAGAGACCTGGCGACCAGTTAAAACCGCAGTGTTTAGTACTTCCCAGTTCTGCAACAAAAAAATGCAACAATAACTACTCTGCAGCGATTTCCCGCGTTAAAAAGTCCAAAAAAGCCTAAATGTCTCCTACGAGTTACACGGGAATTCCCGTCTGGCTCGACATTACGTCTTTTCCACGTCTAAATTTGTTCCGTAAGCTTTAGTATTCAGTCATTGTGAGTTTTTTTTTCTTCCAGACGTCTTCTAATATCATAAATCTAACGAAATTGCTTTTAGTGAGTGTGATCGTCCATCTTGTCTCATTCCGACTTGATAATCCTTAATTTTGACGGAGCTATCACATCATTAAAGCGCCTGAAATTGGACGAAAAAAACAAGAGACGCGTGATTAATTCGACCCGAAATCGAATTTGATATGGAAATAAATCCATGGAGCCATTTAACTGGAAAATGATATTCGACAGATTTGCTACTCACGTACGAATAATATCGAGAAGCTGTGCCTCCAACACCAATCAATCGAGAGAATAAAGTGGATTTACATGGGGAAAATGTATCCACAAATGGAGGATTCGATCATTGCCAGCCAAAGGTACATTTTTCTTAGAGATAACAGAAATTAGGACAAAAAGAAATTTTCAAAAACCTTATTCTTATTTCATTACTGAAATGGATCGTTTTCAAATATTTTTTGCAAGATTGGAGAAGTGTCACTGACCTTTGAAATAGATAAGAGTTTTTAACAACTTCTTTGGCTTGTATTAGAGATTCTGCCACACGTATAGACTTCATTTAAATGAGAAATAGGTAAAGCTTCTCCTGAAACTTGTTTTCGAAATATTAAGTTTTGCTGTTTCTTCCTACTGTTAAAACATATTTTACTCATGAAGGTTTTGCACAAGATAAAAGATAATACCATTCAAATAAACAAGAAAAGTTTTAATTAAATATTTTTCTATTAATCATGTAAGTACACGCGATAGTTTGTGTTTGCCAAACAAATATGTTATATTAACAGCCTGGTAGGGAGCGAAACACGGACTCAGGTGAAATAAGTTGCAAGTGCGGTTACAGAAATGGTCGATAAGCAACTGCAGTTTGTAACATACACCCCACGTCTTTATGAGCTACAAAATGAGATATTTAATGATAGAGATATCATAGAGAGTAAATTGAACTTTCGTGTTGCCTGATACGAGCCAACATCTAAGTAAAAATCTCTCAGTTTCAAATAAGTTTTCCACCTGATCAGCCTTAAGCACTTAACAATGCGCTTGTCAGGTGGACACTGCAAATTTCTCCAAGTGTCATTTCATACGCTCCATTTCGTTAAAAGGAAAGAGCCACGACAGCAAAAACGTCTCCAATCTCTTGGAAAATATAAATGTCAACGAAAAAGGCGTCAAGAACGGTATGGAAAATACATTGCTCAAGAACTGAAGTGGATGTTAACTATTTTTCGGAAATTTGCAATTAAAATGTAGGTATGTTAAAAGAATAGCAATACATACTTGCAACAGACACGATTTCGAAAGTTCATTTTGCGTTTTGTTTTATTTTATTTTTTATGACCTTTTTTTAACGATAAGATGCAAGACTTTATCAATAATTTGCTAATAAATTTTCGAAATAGACTATAGGCCCTAATAGGAGCCAGAAGAAGTCCCACACGATAGGTACTAGGTTTTTATAGGAACGGTGAAAATTTAAGAACTCAAGAACTTTTCGTTTTGTTACCTTTTATTGCATTTTTATTACATTTTATTCATTTCAACTGTAGTGTATTTTTTCACAGTTTATTTCTTCAGTTTGTAATTTTGACTGTAAATGAATAGAAATTCATTTCTTGTAACTGTTTTTAAATTTACCTACATTGAATTAAAAAAATTAAGGATAAATTCCAATATCTACTTCAGTTGTAGAGTAGTGTATTAATTAGTTTAGTAACAACGTGGGGTGTTATACAATAAGACAATCGATCATATTTCGGTAATGATATGCAATTTATTTCTGAATACCTACGCTAAGATAAATGTATGTATCTACTCAGATGATTATAGTTTATAGTACTGACGTTTAGAGAAGTATTGTACGTAACGTAACGGAAGATAATTAAACTTGGATAATTGACAATGGAAGTGAAAAGCTCTTAGAAGTTTAAAGATTTAGAGGAGCGAAGTTTGGAGACAAAAGTAACATGAGAGGAACATCGGTTCTAGGCTGTGTAATTTCCGATGACTTTCATCAGTTTATATAGGTATATCAATTGAAATTAGAAATCAGAGAAAACATTAAACCAAATGTTAAAATGAATTATACGATTATTAATAGTCGTTATGTATAGCGTATTTTTGAATTTTCAAACCCACCGACAAAGCAAATAAATTTATTTGAAAGTAGAACCCTCGGCTATGTTGCAAGATCAACCAATTTTTGGGAAAGAATTTGCAGACTTTCCTATAATAATAAAACAAAATATAAATTTAATAAACAATTACAGAAGTTGAACAAACAAAAATAATAACAAGAAAAAGGTTACGATTAATAACTGGATATCCTTGTAGCTTTTTTCACGATTTTTGTTTACATTAGAGTATGGGAACGGATTACTAGAAATTTCTGAACTTAGCAAGGCATCAATTTAATTTGATCAAAATCGCAACTCTGATGCAACTGCAACTTTCGCACAGACTTTTAAGTAATTTCTTTGATTTAGCGAAATGCTCTTAAACTTTCTAGAATTTGTTTCAAAAGAATCATGAAACGAGCTTCGTTCCATGTTCTTTCTAGTTTCGTTTCCATTCAAATTAAAACTGCAACAACTTTAGTTTCAAAGCATAATATCAAAATTTTATATCAGAAACTCGTGTCAGCTTGTTTAACATTATTAAAACTGGCAACTTCGCACCCTGTTCGTATTTTCCTCTTTACAAAGTCTGCCATATTTAAATTTATAATTTGTTAATTCGTTTGAAGTTCGCAAGGAAATGCTAAACCCCCTCTAGTAGACAATGCAAATGCAAACATAACGACTTCTTATCAAAACTCGGGTTATTATTCCCCAAGATGAAGTTATTCGAACTGCAGGTGCAGTTGACAGGTGGTTTATGGACATTTATGAACGCATTATTCCGGTTATTAAGTCGCGCGATATGATTGAGATTGGGTTGTGTTACGACTCGACCTCCCAGAACAGGGTTATAAATTTACACAAAAAAAGCTTGTACGACTTATGACCCCGACAAGCCATTCTTCAAGCTCTCTCGAAACGGCACTTTTGCTAATCCGGACGCACGTCCTGTATTTCTTGCCGATGTTTAATATCCAGGGAGCCGGAACGCCATTTCGCCAAAGCGGAAGTGGTCTAGGTGAAACGTTCAAAGGTTTTCACTTTGAAGATCGATTTTCGCGTCTTTGTACGTTGCATATTAGACGAGGGATTGGGATGGTGTAAAAGTGGTGAAGCGATTCTCGACCGAGGATGAGAACAAATGAGAATCGGAAAGGATGTGCTGCTTCCTTCGTGTTGTGGTGCCCGATATGTGAAATATTGAGTTTCGATATTGGATATATACGAGCAACCGGACGCTGCCGTACGTTTTGCTACTGTGAAATTATATTTACAATATTCCCGGAGAGTATCCTTCCTGAAAGGATAAATAAAATGGGTGGGTTTCGTGCGATCGCGGAGAAAAAAGGGTGCCACTTTAGGTATTTACTTGGAAAACATGGAGAATGACTCCATTCATGTCGAACTTGAAAAAAAACACCAAACTTGAAAATGGAGTGGAGAAATAGCTCAAATTTCTGAAATAAGATAAAAAACGAAAGGAGAAATATTATAACGTGATTATCGTTTAAGAGTGGCGTTTAGAAGATAAGGACTATACAAGAGATCGAGAGCGGGGCAAAAAGAATCTTCTATAAAACGTGTAGATGCTCGTAATTAAGTTGAAGGTAAAAAACATTTTCATTGTTTTCACTTTCTGAAAACTAAAGGTCTAAAAGTAAAATTCTCTTTGTAGAAAAAATTGGATAAGTTTTTAAAATAATTTTAATAAAAATTTCTCAATATATTCTGTTTCCAGAAGCTTAAAATCTAATTAAAATTCAGTTAAACTAAAATTTGTATATTATCAGTATTATCACAAATATTTATTAATTACCGTTCTTGCGTGAGGAGCTTAAATAACCCTCGTATTGTTGCTAGTTGTATTTGTATTAAATAAACTTTATTCAAAGAGAAATATCTCCTCTAAGCCAATAAGTCTCATCAGTGCTCTTCGTTAGTGTGAGTACTACGCCCCATCTATTATGCTCCACGATTTAATATTTCCTGAGAAGCTTAGACGAAATACCGGATTATAAATTCATCTCTTTGACACTTCACACTGCGAATAACACAAGCGGACGCGCTTTTCGTTCTACTAACGACGCATTTCGAAGTCGTTAAAAAGAAACGTCGATACCGCGAGTCGACCTGAAAAAGTCGAGCTTTTCCCCTAGTTTGTTCAGCTTTAAATTTGTATCAATATTGGTTCGGCATCGATAAGACCGCAAAAATTGCAATAAATTCGCGAAAGACAACAATAAAAGCGGGATCAGTGCGGGAATTATTTCGAGATTATCTTCGCTTTTGTTGTCTTTGAGTTAGAAGCGGCGTCTTGTTATTCCACTTTGCACACACGCACTTGCCGTCTAATTATGCTTGCGATTGGCGTTATCGATCCCTCGTATAATTTCCCTTCAGGGTGTGATCATTTTTTCCACCGCCATGCAGTAAATCGGCTTTTATGGCCTATGGTGAACCACGAACGTGCTGCGATAATGCTCAACTGCTAATGAAATGTTTTCGTGTGTTCTCGAAACATCAAAGGAGCTGATGGGGCATCAAACTCATTTCTTGTTGTATATTTAAACGGGTAATCGGGTTAGCTCGAAATTAGTGGATTGACTCGAGTATTATCCTCCATTAGACTAATATTATTGGCACCGGACTAACACAGACAGACTTATCGATCGGAGAGAAATATAACAAGAATAAAAAA